GAATCGAACCTGGGACCCTTGAGTCCACAGGCCGTCGCTCTATCCATGAGCCAAACCTATTTAGGCTCCAGCTTACTTTTGACAAAAGCAGAAGTCCTCCCTGCCTCCAAGGCACTGCACCACCCGCTCCTGTCTCCCCCCTGCCTTTACCTCCCTATACTCACCCCTTTCAACAGCGCTGGCCTCCTTTCCGCTGGAGTGTGCTAAACGCAGTCCCACCTCAGGTACCTGGCACCTGCTCTTTCCTCTGCCCACAATGCCCTGCCCTCAGCCAGGTCTTCCCTTAAATGTCTCCATCCTCAGAGAGACCTCCTTTCCTTCCCACTACCTACGGCCAGCCCCGTGGCGTGAGGGATGCTGCTCATAGTCTCTGACTTGCTCCAAGTGATGGCTACACAGCTGTGACAAAATAAAACAAATCTCCGGAGCTGAGTTCCTGAGGCTAGGACACTTTATTGGATGTCAGTTACATCTCAGTTAAAAAGTAATAAAAATTCTCTCACACACAAACCACTCTTCACCTCATCACGTGTTTGGTTACCTGAAATCGTCTTGCCGATGTGTTTCCTGCCTGTCTCCCCACTGGAGGACCATGGGCCCCGAGGGGAGGGATCTGTGTCTTGTTTCTGCTGTGTCCTCAGCACCTAGAACGTTTCTGGAATCAGAGTAGAGACTCAGGACAGACTGGTTGGATGAGGGATAAATAGGAGAAAAGAGAGGCCCAGAAAGGAGAAGTGATGTGTCAAAGGTCACAGAGCTGCATCCATGGAGATGGAGGGCTGACTCTTCCCACTTCTGGCAGGACTTCCCCTTCCGCTAAACAATGACAAAGTGAGGACCCCTAATGACTGAACTTGTCATTTCAGAGTTTATGTGGATGAAGAACCAGCTGAGAGTTCGATGTGAAGGAGAAGCTAAGATGTGTGAACTTCCCCCTCTTTCCTGCTTTCCCGGCCGGCCCTCACCTCTTGCCCAGGCCTCCTGCCACTCTACCCCTTCCCATGGCCTAATTAGTGAGTCATCTGCTCTACGGACCACTCTGATCCCGCCATTCCCAGCCCGGATGGCCTCCGAGGCTTCTCCCTTCCCCTAAGATTCTTTCTTTCACGCAAGGGCATGCCAAGACCTCTGGTTCCATCCCAATTGTATTTCCACCTCCTGCCATTCCACACCCCACCCCCATGTTTTAAGAAAAGGAGGAAGCCGAGGAGGAAGCCAAGGAGGAAACCGAAACCAGTTTGGCTCAGTGGATAGAGCGTCAGGCTGCAGACTGAAGGGTCCCGGGTTTGATTCCTATCAAGGGCATGTACCTTGGTTGCAGGCATACCCCCAGTAGGGGGTGTGCAAGAGGCAGCTGGTCAATGATTCTCTCTCATTGATGTTTCTAACTCCTTATTCCTCTCTCTTCCTCTCTGTAGAAATTAATAAAATATATTTTTTTTAAAAAGAAAAAGAAGAAGAGGAAGAAGAAGAAAAAGGTAAAGATAAAAATTATCATGCTATCATAATGAAAATTTTTTCTTAATTTCTTTTTCGGATTGTTTTTTGCTAGTGTGTGATATGCAACTGGTTTTTGTTTTCTTGCATGTTGTTTTACAACTTTGCTGAATTTATATATTTGTTCTAATAGGGGTGTGTGGGGGTGTGTGTGTGTATTCAGGGTTTTCTATACAAAAACACCTACTTCTTTTCTACCTCTTCCTTACATACTTGGGTGCCTTTTGTTTCTTTTTCTTACCTAATTATGGTATCTAGAACTTCCAATCCTATGCTATTAATTAGAAGTGATGAAAGTGGGCATCCTTGTCTTTTTCCTGATCTTAAAAACAAAACAAAACTGTTTTACTTTTGAAACATGGGATTGTTTTCATTATGTGAACTAAAGGCAAATGTATATTTTTTCAAACTAAAAGTGGCCTCTGCATCCTCTGGCACTGCGTGGACCTGTGTCCGTGGGCACATCCTGCCCGGTTCTCGCTTCTGAGTTCCTTGAGGACCAGGTTTGCATCTCCCCTGACCACCAGCTCAGGGCTCTCGCCATGTTCTCAATGCATGCTTGTTCTTGAGTCTGGAAGGACTGACCGTCCCGGACAAAAATTTAATTCCAAATGCTCAAAATCCCAAGAAAAGTGGAATTAAGAAACAGCATATCTCTCATGTTGCAATCACCCCCATGATACTTTCTCTTATTTTCACTTATTTGACTATTGCTGCAGGCAGGCGCTGAAGATAGAAGCCATGGTTTCTGCCCTCATGTGGCTATGTAATGGGTGTTTTATAATTGAGATAATTGACGGCAACCAAGTCGAGGAGATCCTTAATCGAACTTACTGGAAAGCGCCAAGCACCTGCAGCTACTCATCCTTTCCCTGCTGTCTGCTGGACCAAAGGCCAGACCATCCCCCATGGCTCACTTCTACCAAAGGCCAGACTTCCTCGGGTGGAGACTACTGTAGTCCGAGCCGCCGGGTGAATTAGAGGTGAAAACCAGGACAAGCCGAGTACCCATTAGAATGAGGAAACAGCCTTGCCTGGGTTGTCTTAGATTACTTTGCAACCAGGAACTTTCAAATGAAGTGTCTCCATGGAAAGGTAACTTTTAAAACAATTATATATATATATATATATATATATATATATATATATATATATATATATATATATATTTCAGAGAGAAAGGGAGAGAGAAATATCATTGATTGGCTGCTTCCTGCATGCCCCCTACTGGGGATCGAACCCACAACCTGGGCATGTACCCTTGACTGGAATAGAACCTAGGACCAGCCAGAGGCTGATGCTCTATCCACTGAGCCAAACCAGCTAGGGCCAGAAAGATGACTTTTAAGTGCCTAGGAGAAAGAAAGTCTTCCCTGAAGAGAAGAAAAAAAGATGCTGTTGCCACACCACACAAAGATAGCCCAAAAATAAAAAATAAAAAAGTAAGCCCATTTATGATGTTTATTATGGCAAGTTTATATGAATTTGCCAAATACAACAACCCTCTGAGCTAGTTGCAGAAGAGCAATGGAGACTCCAAGAAGTAGTAGAAAAATGAATCAGCATGACTGTGTCCTCAGGGCATGGAACAGGAGGGGCCCGGTGATTTCCGCAGGCAGGTCCAAGGGAGACTCGAGGGGAGCTGTCCTGGAGACCTTGCACCCCAGGAATGTTCTTTTCAGAGCTTTTTTGGTCTTTTTCCAGGCCTGCCTCGCATCTAAGGAGACTTAGAGCTAAGTTCCTTTCCGGAAGAGAGCCTGTTCCCAGTCACTCTCCCAGGCCTGCTGAGAAGGGCCTCCTGCCATCAGATGGTTAAGGAAAAGCTGGGCTCCTCACAGAAACAGTGTGTTGTGTCTTGTCATTTTTCTGAAGGGAAACCAAACTTAGGATCCTAATTGGTTGAAAAAAAGAAATGGAGCATATGGAACAAGGAGTGGAATTTCATGGTGGCACACTCACAAATGTTGCAACAACTCCCAGAACTTGCCCATCCTTGTAAATTTGCCCAGGTGATTGCTAATTAACTCATCTGACCCTGACCTTGAGCCTGCCAAGTAAGGGAAGAGGTTCATTGTTTTCTCCCCTTTCCAGGTTGTGAAAGCTATTTCACTCACCCAAAGTTGACTGATTCCAGAGTTGGGGCTCTTAACTACCCTTCTGCTTATAAATCTCATCCTTTATATTAATCACCATTTTTTCTTTCTGAACGCTTGATTGTCCCTTTCTGCCTATTTTCTTTTTAATTTTTGTTTATTGAGATTACAGAGGGGACAGAGAGAAACATCCACCTGTTGTTCCATTTATTTATGCAATGGTGGTTTGATTCCCTCATGTGCCTTGACCACAATCAAACCTGCAACCTTGGCATACTGGGCTGATGCTCTAACCAACTCTGAGCTACCCAACCAGGGCAGGGCGCTGGCTCTTTTCTGCCTTCTTTCTCTCATGAGTTTCCCATCAGCGTGCTGAGAGCTTAAGTGTGCCCTGCCAAGCTCTGTTTGTAAACCCCACAGAACTCCACTCATTCTTGGGGGAACACTCCAAGACTGCCAAACGCTCTGGAAGCCTTTTTGGCCAGGGGCCCCTGGCAACTGCACAAATCCCCAAAGAGCCTTCTGATTCTAAAAGCTGCTCTCCGTCAGCCCTCCGTGGCTAGGCAGTCACCTTCAGCGCTGAAAACCCCACTTTGTTTTGATTTTTCTTTGGGGAGAGATAGTGGCTTTTTGTTCATTTCTTTCTCCTAAAAGGATAAATCAATATTTATGTCCAGACTCCAGGTTTTGGGTCAGCTGCTTTAGAGATGTTTTTGCTCATAATTCATCCAAGTGCTGAATCCCTCAAGACAAAAATCCATTGCAGGTTGTAAGGATTTTATGTAAAGGCCTCCTTGATTACTGTTTATGCTGCGATTTGGAATAACCATCTAAAAACTATACAGAACTAAGCTCGGCTAAAACCTGCATACAGTTCCTAGAAAGGAAAAGGGAAGTAGAGAAAAGAGAGGGGAAATTTTCCAACACCCAGTTTTTCCGGTTCGAGACAGAGGGGAGATTGTCACTCGCCAATGAGACCTTTTTGGAAGGACAGACAATTAATCTTGGGACACCAAAGAGAAACGTAGCAATGAGTTGGTGGACATTTAAAGGAAATCTTGCAGGAGACGCATTTCCAGTTTGGGGAGGCCTCGATCTTCACGCGCTACCTAAATCCCACAAAGCGAGGGTCCGGCCGGCCGGGAGCTGCGCTGGAATCCCAGTCAGGCCTAAAGGGGTTAAGGGGCTATGTCACATCAACGGCTCAAACTCCTCCTCTCGCCCGCGAGGTGAAGATATTTGAAAATCACCCCACTGCAAACTCCTCCCCCTAGGAGAAACCTCACATTGAAATGCTGCAAATGACTGGGGCCCGCGTGCAGTCGCCGCCAGGCTGTGCGAAGCCCGAGGTTGCAGCGCGGACTCTGCGGAACAGGGGCCGGCAGCCCGGGCCAGGGCGCTGCGGAGAGCATGAGGCTGTGCTGGCTCCCCGTCCTGCTCCTCGCCGCCGAGATGCCTGCAGGTGAGGCTGGCTCCAGGCGCCCACACGGAGTGTGGGTGAGCCCCCCGAATTCCCGGAGCCCCCCTTGGCAATTTTTTTGGGGAGGGGAGGCAGCGAAAAAAATCACTGCATCCTTGGGAGATGTGGGGAAGTGGCACAAAGTCCTCCCAAACAGCTGGAGAGAACGCTAAGGGGCGCGAGGGTTTGGGGCGTCAGAGGAAAAGGGATGAGGCTTTCCCCGCAAATCCGCTAGAATGGGGAATTCTTCCCCTTGTCTCCCGCAGACCGAGAACCGGGTCTCCAGCACTGGGGAGGGGGGACCCTGTCCCAGAGTTATTGTAGGGGCAAAGGGTGACCCGAAGTTCGGCTTCCCCGCGCCCGACCGTGGGCAAGAGGAACTGAGGCTCCAAGTGGGCTTTGTGCTGCCCGCGAGCCCCGCGCTTCTGGGAGCCGAGCCAAGGGCATCCTACCCGGCCGCCGCGCGCGCGCCTCTGCCCCAGGCCGCCGCCTCCCGCCACGCCCCCGCCACGCCCCCCGGCCGCCGCCACGCCCCCGAGCCCCCATTGGGCGCAATTCAAACAGGCGAACCCAGAGTCTCTCCCGCTGACCAATGGGAGGCGGCGCCTGCGGAGGCGCGCGCAGCGCGGGGCGGGATTAGCTTAGGGTTCGCGCCGCGCCTTGTGCTGCATGAGGCGCCGTCTGAGATGCGGTTCCTCGCGCCGATCCCGGGCGCCCATCACAAAGGAAGCGACCCTCCCCGGGCCCCGCGACCACCTCCGCGCGCGAACACGAGGCGCCCGCTGAGCGCCGCGGTCCCCTCGGCGAATCCCGCCGTTTCCACCGCGATCCGTGCCCAGACCTCCGTTCCCACCGTGTCTTCGAGGCCGCCCTGGCCGCCCGCCCGGGGCGCGTCGCAGTGTCTCCGGGCCGCCTGCGGGGCCACGGCTCCTCCCGAGGCGGAAGCCTCGCCTCAGCCTCAATTCCAAGGGGACCGGTCGGGGCCGGGCAGGGACTGGGAAGGCGCGACACCGACGGCCCCCTCACAAGTGCCTTGTTGGTTCAGAGGCTCCAGAGTGGGTTTAGTTGAACTGCCGCTTTGACGATTTTTCACTTTAGGGTAAGGTGACCTGACGTCCCGCTTTTGGCGGGACAGTCCCGCTTTTAAAAACAATTTGTCCCTCGTCCCGCGGCGTTTTGAAAAAGTCCAAAAGATTTAAAAGATTTTTTTCCAAAAATCAGGACTTTTTTTTTTTTTAAACGCCGCGGGACGCAGGACAAATTGTTGAAAATCGGGACATCTGGTCACCTTACTTTAGGGGGTTTTCAAATTTAGATTTGGACAAGAGACTAGTTGGTGGCTTTAAATGAGCAGCACACCCAAGGGCACACCCAAACTCAGAGGACATAGAGCATCCTGTTAAGAGTTGTATCTGCCTTAGCGACTTCTTCCAGGGCAATACTGGGGAAAGATAGGGAGAGCTTTTTTGAGGCTGGGAAACTTTAAGAGGAATTACGTACCTCATTTTCTGTTTCCAGGCTAGTCCTGCGCTTATCTGTGGGGTTCTTCCCCTGATAATATTCAATTCTAGATGCCTTTGTTGCTGGGAGCTTCGATAGTCCCTTGGCATTCCATCTTGAGTACATTAATATCATCCACACTTTGCCCAGCTGTCAAGCTAGTGACTTTGCTGCTGTGACGCTGTGGGAGTGACCGCAGTGAACACTGACAGGGACAGGCTACTGCTCCCCAAAGCTGCTGGCCACAGAGGCTACCATTGAGACCGCTCCTGGGGAAACCACCGTGGCACCCGAGTTCCGGAGAGAGCACTGCCAAATTGGTTTCTCATTCATCTTCATTCAGCTGAGTCTGTTAGCTCCAAGCATCTCTTCTTTCCAGGAATGATTCTATCTATAGATTTTATTTCCCTTACCACAGCCACCTTCAGTGTGTCGATGTAAGAACCTGCCAAGAATTTTTTATGAATTTATTTGGGCCAAATGATGACAGTTGCCAGGAAGGAAAACCTCCACAGACTGAGAAAATGCTCCGGAAAATACACACAGTTTTGTAGTTTATTTGATACATGAGAAGGGGACGGGAGAAAGCAAAGCAGGGAAATCTCTGAGGCTGGATAAAGACTGGAAAACCGGAGAGACACACGTACTTCTTAAACATTGGCGGATACAGAATAGTTAACAATTAACATTTACAAAACAGACACAATGTTCCTAAAACAAAATGAAAATGAGGGGTTCTGTGTTCTCCTGCTCTGGTGCAGAGGTTGTGCCCTGAGAGGTCTGGAAAAGATTTCTCTAACTTTTTTTTCTTAAAAAAAGCTGGTTTGGCTCAGTGGTAGAGCATCGGTCTGCGGGCTGAACGGTCCCAAGTTCGATACTGGTCAAGGGCATGTATCTTGGTTGCGGGCACATCTCCAATAGGAGGTGTGCAAGAGGCAGCTGATCGATGATTCTCATTGATGTTTCTAGCTCTCTATCCCTCTCTCTTCTTCTCTGTAAAAAATCGAAATATACTAAAAAAAAAAAAAAAAAAAAAAAAAAGGAACACAACGAATTTACGTCATCCTTGCGCAGGGGCCATGCTAATCTTCTCTGTATTGGTCCAATTTTAGGATCTATGCTGCGAAAGTGGGCACCCTCTGACTCTTCAAAGATATGTTATCTTAGATGCAAAAAGACAGCAATCTCAATTAAGGTAGATACTGATCTTTGTCAAGGAAGCTACAGGCCATGACTCGCTTTTAGTTAAGGATTTTTTTTTTATGTCAGATCATCCTGCGCGGTGTGTGGTTACTTTCAGTCTCTGAGGTTGTAAGGCCTGCCACGCGGGCCTCCCAAGCTTTAATTTAGTCAGATTTAGTCTGTGGCTCCTTCGTCCACAAGCAGCATGGGGCAGCAAACATCGAAAGCATTTACTACCTCATCTGTGTGTTGGAGAAAAAGCAGAAATGTGTATTCTCCTTTTCTGTTTCAATAACGTTGTTCCTGATTTGTCACTCCTAACCAGAATAATTTAAGGGCTAGAATTTAGAGATTTGTGTGTGTGTGTGTGTGTGTGTGTGTGTGTGATGGGGGGGGGGTGTTGGGTGCAGTGCTTCAGTAATTTTAGGCACCCCCAGCAGGAGATATAAAAGTGTGTGCTCCCACTAAGACCGGTTTGGCTCAGTGGATTGAGCATCGGCCTTCGGACTGAAGGGTCCCAGGTTCAATTCCAGTCAGGGGCATGTACCTTGGTTGCAGGCACATCCCCAGGGGGGGCGGTGCAGAGAGCGGCTGATCGATGTCTCTCTCTCATCGATGTTTCTAACTATCTGTAAAAAATCAATAAAATTTTTTTTTTAAAAAAAGAGCACTTGGCAATAAAATAATCATTAAAAAAAAAAAGTGTGTGCTCCCTTTTGCTTTTGCTGAAATTTAAATGAAATGGCCTAGGAAATCCAAACCTTGCTTCTGCAAGTGGGAGGAAACAAGAAAGGTGTGCGGTTCCTTTGGGCTGTAGTGATTGGAACAGAACTAGTCCTGTCGACCACGGGACACCCGTCTGATGTGTTGTTCCCTGCTGCTGCCTGTGCTGTTTAAAATTTTTTTTAAAAACATTGATTTGTTTTTATTTTTTAGAGATAGAGAAACTGATTTTGTTGTTCCACTTATTTGTGCATTCATTGGTTGATGCTTGTATGTACCCTGACCAGGGATCGAACTCACAACCTTGGATTATCTGGACAATGTTGTAACCAACTGAGTAATCCGGCCACGTCAGTGCTCCCTGCTTCTGGTTGCTGTTCCCACCAGCAATATGCTGGGACTTATTTCTCAGCCAACTGCTGTCTGGCTGTACCTATAACAATAAAATTCATCCACTTTTCAAACATTGTCTGTAACTGATGGCCAGCTGTTGGAAGACCTGGTCTGACAGAAATAGGTAGTGGAGGGGTCTTCCTGTTGGTGAAGTCTTCAGCCACCTGTGGCTAGCAGATATTTAAAGAATTATTACCAGGGGAAGGCTTGATGTCCAGGAAAGGAATTTAATGTTGTTGTTTTTGTTTTGTTTTTTAATATATTTTTATTGGTTTCAGAGAGGAAGGGAGAGGGAAAGAGAGATAGAAACATCAATGATGAGAGAGAATTGTTGATCTGCTGCCTCCTGCACGCCCCCCTACTGTGGCTTGAGCCTACAACCTGTATATACCCTGATAGGGAATTGAACAGTGGCCTCCTGGTTCATAGGTCACTGCTCAACCACTGAGCCACACAAGAGAGGCAGAATTTATTGTTTTTATCTTTATCCTTCTTTAAAGGGCCTTACGATCTTATTATTATTTCCTTTTATTTGTAAGATAGGTCCTTGTGCAAAGGTTAGGAGGTGAGAGCATTAGTGGTGTGGATGAAAAAATGGTTCTATAGAAAGTAACCTTACAAGATGTTCTGATCTTAAACTCCTAACTTGGTAGGTCACGGTGGGAAGTCACACCTCAGGCATGTAACTTGCAAAAGGCTTGTACTTGCCTTAAGCAAGCTCTGTCAGTTGTTTCTGTGCATCTATTATATTATAGATTAAGACACTTTTGAAAAAAGCATAACCACCCACAAGAGAGCACATAATCTTGTTAACTGTCCTGTAATCCAATCCTCCCCTGGCTTTTCCCCATTTTCATATAATTTTACGTAATCTGACGTTTGGGCTTTACTCTCAAATGCATAAAAGATACGGCAACACTGTCAGTTCTGCCCAGCATCTGAGATCTTGCTTCCCTGGCTGGTGACTCAGTAGTTGGAGCATAGTCCTGTGCACCAGGAAGGTTTCGGGTTCAATTCCCAGTCATGGCGAGGATGGGAGGCAACCACTAATGCTTCTCTCTCCCCTCTCTACTCCCCGCTCCCCAAACCTCCCACCTCCCTCTCACTCTAAAATCAATTAAGAAAACAGCATGTCCCGGTGAGGATTAAAAAAAAATTCTCTACAGGGTTGAATGTTCTTATGTCTACAGTGGTAACCAAAGCGTGGCTGGCAATGGGAGGAAGGGGATGATGACAGAAGCTCCTCCTCCAAGATCCTCATCACCAGTGCCCCTTGTCTGAACTTCCTATTTCCTTTTTTGCAAAGATTCCTCAAATTCCAATTGCTTTTTGCCCACCGTGTGTGCCACAGCACAAGAAGTGTCATTTCCTGCTTTCGGCATGATTACCATTATGATTCAGCTGTTTGTCATTGGGGTTATTGTAGAGGCATCTCCAAAGAAGACATCCTCTTCTGATGGGTGGTTGGGCAACATAACTCTCAGTACTGAGGGCAGATTCCAAAGCTCAACTCATTCCCCTCTTCACCCCCTCTCTTCTGCTCTTGTCCTGGTCACCTGGGTCATGTACTTAACACTTTCCACGTTCTGTTGATTCTTGGAAACAGTCCCGTATTTTTCTCTCTTTATCACCTCTATCTTCTTCTGGGGCTCCCTCATATCTCTCCTAATCTCATCTGACTGGTTTCCTAATCTTTGGCAGGGGCATTGGGATTGAATTTGTGAAGACCCAGAGTGGGTTGTTGTTTTTTAATTTAGATATAATAAACATACTATAAAATGGATAGGTAGGAAGTGAGCAAAAGTTCAGTGAGGTTTTTTTAATTGAATTTTTATCTTTAAAAAATATATATACTTTTATCGCCGAAACCGGTTTGGCTCAGTGGATAGAGCGTTGGTCTGAGGACTGAAGGGTCCCAGGTTCGATTCCGGTTCGATTCCGTGTACCTTGGTTGGGGGCATATCCCCAGAGGGGGTATGCAGGGGGCAGCTGATCGATGATTCTCTCCAATCGATGTTTCTAACTCTCTATCCCTCTCTCTTCCTCTCTGTAAAAAATCAATAAAATATATTAAATATATATATATATATATAAATTTTTATCAACTTTAGAGATAGAAGAAGGGAGAGGGAAAGAGAAATGGAAACATTGATTGGCTGCCTCCTCCATGCCCCTACTGGAGATCAAGCCTGCAACCCTGACTGGAAATCAATCTGGAGACCTCTTGGTTCCTGAGTCCATGCTCAATCACTGAGCCAAACCAGCCAGGCTAATTAAATTTTGAGAGAGAGAGAGAGAGAGAGAGAGAGAGAGAGAGAGAGAGAGAGAGAGAGAGAAAGGGAGAGGGAGAGAGAGAGACATCGATGTGAGAGAGAAACATTGATCAATTGCCTCTCGTACACGATCTTTCAGTGCATGGGAGAACACTCAACCAATTGAGCCACACTGGCCAGGACCAAGTGTGTGTGTTTTAAATATATTTTTATTGATTTCAGAGAGGAAGGGAGAGGGAGAGAGATATAAAAACATCAATGATGAGAGAGAATCATTCATTGATCAGCTGCCTCTTGCACACCTCCTACTGGGGATTGAGCCAGCAAGTGGGTATATGCCCTCACTGGGAAATGAACTGTGACCTCCCTGTATCATAGGTCAATGCTCACTACTGAGCCATGCTGGCGGGCCAGTGAGTTTTTATAAACATCTATTTCTATGTATTCACCTCCCATTTGCATATAGATTATTTCTAGCCCTTCAAAGAGTTTTCTTCTGCCCCTTTCTGCAATTTAATTACTGCTCCCACACACTAGAGGCAACAGCTAATTTGAATTCTAATTTAGATTAGTTTTGCCTGAACTAGAACTTCACATAAATGCAGAGTACATACTCTTGAACAAAATAAGTCAGACACACGTAATGTTCAGTAAGTCATGTGTGTCAATATGTTTATTAACTATTTGTCCCTTAAAAAAAGGGGGGGGGGTATTGATTTTTTTAGAAAGAGAAGTAGAGAGAGGGAGAAACATCATAGTCTGCCTTCTGCACGCCCCCTCCTGGGCATGTGTCCTGACTGGGAATTCAGCTAGCCACATGGGATAATGCTTAAGCAACTGAGCTACTGGGCCAGGGCCAAGATCTTGATCCTTCCTCTTCCACGCCCATAATGAAGAAGGAAAGGCTGCTCTGAGGAGCAGGCTGAATCATTCAAGAATTTGCTCTCTCCATTTATTTTGGTCTGAGTTTCTCCCAAGAACGAAATAGCTTTCTGTAGATGTGAAGTTTGCTTCAAATTTGATGTATGTACCAGTATAAATTATCTTTGTGCAAAATGAGCTAATGACTATATTTTGCACAAACCATTAAACAATTCTTTTGGTTATAGCTAGTGCTTAAAATCAACTGATAAAAGGAAAAGTATTCTTACAAGGATAATGAAATATATAAGTAATATAGACATCAATCAAAATTCATATTTTATATTCTATTTGCCTACAGAACATCTGACTCATGAGGAAAATCCTTCTAGCCGCTTTTATTGTTTTTCTCTTATTCCTTATTTATTCACTATAAAGCATGCTAAGATAAGCCAGGTCAGAATTTGTAGTGGCCTCATTGTTTCAGTTTACATAGGAAATCAAAGTTTATACTTTGAGCTTAAAAGATTATTATTATCAGGTAATCGACAACCAAAAAAGTTGGCTTTGATTCCAGTTTATACTAAGCAGCGCATTCTAATTTAAAGTATACTATTCAAGCCCTGACTGATTTGGCTTAGTGGATAGAGCGTCAGCCTGCAGACTGAGGGTTCCCAAGTTTGATTCCAATCAATGGCATATACCTTGGTTGTGGGCACATCTCCAGTGGGCAGCTGATCGATGTTTCTCTCTCATCAATGTTTCTAACTCTCTATCCTTCTCCCTTCCTCTCTGTAAAAATAAATTTAAAAATATATTTAAAGTATAATATTCAAAAGGAAATGCAGTAAAAAAAAAAAAAAAAAGGAAGCGGAGTCAATATATATATATATATATATATATTTTTTTTTTTTTCTTTTTTTTTTTTAATTCTTACCTGAGGATATTTTTTCCATTGATTTTTAAAGAGTGTGGAAAGGAAGGAGCAGTGGGGGGGTGGGGGGGAGTAACATTGATTGGTTGCTTCCCATATGAACCCTGACTAAGGCCAGGATCAAACTTTAAATCCAGGTACGTGCCTTTGACAGGGAGTTGAACCTGAGACCCTTGGGGGTGCAGGCAGATGCTCTAACCACTTAACAGTGCTGGCCAGGGCACAATCAATATAATTTTGATCTCTTTTCCAAGGTGCAAAAATGTATTTTAGGAAATTTCCCAGACACTTACTTCATTTTTATCTAAAAATTCGAGTGTGTGTTTTTTTAAAAATTGATTTTGAGAGAGAGAGAGAGACCGACAGACACCCTATTCCACGTATTTATGCATTCATTGGTTACTTATATGTGCTCTGACCTGGGATCAAACCTGCAACCTTGGCATATTAGGACACTGTTCTAATCAACTGAGCTACCTGGCCAGGGCCCAAGTCTTTCTCTAGGAAAATTTTCTCTTATTACACATAAAGCTACTGTTTCTGTTCCATTTCTTTTGAGCTCATGTTGAGATATTTGATTACCTTTGTTGCTGAGTTTCTGCTCTCTGGCTTCCACATAAATTTATCATAATTTTTCTTTCCATTTCTATTCTACCTGCTGGAGAAAACTCAAGTTTTAATAAGCTTGCAGTGTCAATTTTTGTCATTGTTTCCAATACAGGCTTATGATATGCTAAATAATTTTCTTTATAAATGTGCATGAAAATTCTAATATTTTATCCCCAGATCCCAATGAATTTGTACTTTGGACTCAACAAAGCATTATGTCAAACTCTTAAACTTTGTTGACAAGTCTCACTTTTGGTTGTGTTTTTTTGCATCCCCGCTATACTTTTGGCTCATGAAATTTAACTTGTTTCATTTATACATGTTTTATTTCTTGGAACCAGACTGTTATGATAGGGTTATATTTCTGGTTTGTTCTTTAGTTGGCAGGAAACAGACATAGGTAATATGGTCAGTTTCTGATCCTGGCATTGAATATTTCTTCCCCTTTTCTCTCTTAGTGGAAGGCAATTGTGAGAGAAACGAGTTCCAATGCGAAGATGGGAAATGCATCGCCTACAAGTGGGTTTGTGACGGGAGTGCCGAGTGCCAGGACCAGTCTGATGAATCCCAGGAGACATGTAGTAAGTTCCCTTTGGATATTATACCCATCCCAACAATTAAAAAATACATACACACACACACACACACACACACACACACACACACACACACACACTAATAAAAAGGTAATATACTAATTAGACCAGATGTCTTCTGGATGACCTTCTGGACATCCTTCCTCACAAAGTTGGCCCCGGGTGAAGCTGCCCATGGTCCCTGGCACCTGTGGCTGTGGCTGGCTCAGGTGAAGCCACCCCCGGTCTCAGGTACTTGCAGCCGGCCAAAGGGAGGAAAGCCTGGGTCCCAGGGTCAGGGACTGAGGCAGAGGTGGTTAGGGGTGATCAGGCTGGCTTGGGAGTAGTTAGGGGTGATCAGGCAGGCTGGCAGGCAGGCGAGCAGTTAGGAGCCAGCGGTCCCAGGTTGGAGAGGGTGCAGGTCAGACTGAGGGACCTCCCCCCCCACACACATGGATTTTATGCACCGAGCCTCTGTACACTGAGTGGCCAGATTATTATGATCTCTGAACACATAATAATCTGGCCACTCAGTGTATATCCTATATAATAAAATGCTAATATGCAATTTGTCCTCTCGACCAGCAGGCAGGCTGGCCAACTACCTATTTCCCCTTCCTCTGGCCAAGCTGGCCAGACCCCACCCATGCACAAATTCATGCAGCAGGCCTCTAATATATATATATATAAAATCTGGCCACTCTGTGTATATTGATTTCAGAGAGGAAGGAAGAGGGAAAGAGAGATAGAAACATCAATGATGAGAGAGAATCATTGATTGGCTGCCTCCTGCATGCCCCACACTAGAAATTGAGCCTGCAACCCAGGCATATACCCTGACTGGGAATTGAATTATGACCTCCTGGTTCATAGGTCAACACTCAACCACTGAGCACACCTGCAGGAGCTTCAACCCTTTTTTATGATAGCAAAGGACAGATGAGGTGGATTTTGCCCATTACATTGATATATTCAACCATGAATTGGGAGGTGGGGAGCAAAGATATTACTAGAACAGCCCTTGAACAGCTCTTTAAAAAAAATTATTTTGAGGGGAAATTCACACAAACAAATTAACCATTTTAAAGTGACCAGTTCACTAGCATTAATGCATTTGCAAAGTGTGCAACCACCACCTCTATCTCATTCCAAAACCTAGCGTCTGATTTTTAACAAGCTCCATTAAAGTTTGACCCAGAAAGGTGGGATTGGCACCTTTTTCCTGAAAACTCTGGGTTCTAAAATAGATCCAGAGACATAGAAGCATGGAACAGAGTACAGAATCTCAGTGGGAAGGTAGGGGCGAGTGGGTGAGTGGGAAAAGATCAACCAAAGAACTTGTATGCATATATGCATAACCTGTGGACACAGACAATAGGGTAGTGAATGCCGTGGGGTGGGAGTGGGCTAGAAGGAGTCAATTGGCGGGGGGAATGGAGACATATGTAATATTTTCAACAATAAAGATTTAATTTAAGAAAATACACACAAAAACTGGGTTCTTCCTTGCACGGCAAGGACTGGGAAAGCAGACTAGCCTTTTCTTTTTTTAAAAAATTTTTTAATATATATATTTTATTGATTTTGTACAGAGAGGAAGGGAGAGAGATAGAGAGTTAGAAACATCGACATCGATCAGCTGCCTCTTGCACACCCCCCACTGGGGATGTGCCCGCAACCAAGGTACATGCCCTTGACCGGAATCGAACCTGGGACCTTTCAGTCCCCAAGCCGACGCTCTATCCATTGAGCCAAACCGGTCTTGGCAAACTGGCCTTTTCTTTGAGTTAAGACTCAATCCTGTTGCTCCCACAGAGTCTGTCACCTGTAAGATGGAGGACTTCAGCTGTGGGGGTCGTGTCAACCGTTGTATTCCTGAATTCTGGAGATGTGACGGCCAGGTGGACTGCGAGAATGGCTCGGACGAGCAAGGCTGCGGTAAGTGTGGCCCCTCACGGCAGCCCCCGTGCCGGAATGTCCATGTGGCCCCATGGGCTTCTGGCTGCTATCAGAGCTTGTTCCCCAAGCAGCCCTGCCTGGTGTGGACTGGCCGCTCTTCACTCAGCTCCACCTCCTGGGAGCACATACCAGCCCCCTCCCTCCCATTGAGGCCCGTCTTGGCTAGAAGGTGTTGCGGCAAGTAGTGATGGCGCCCTCTTAGGGTGATCAGCACACTCCGTGAGGTTGTCCTTGCCACATGGCATATGCTTCCGTCAGTGAGCCGCTATGACCACTGTCAGCCACCCCAGGAGGCTAAGCACATAGTAGGTATTCAACTACCAAGACTCACTCATCCAACTAACGAGGAGGAAAGCTTCGCCAAAGAAGCCGGCTTCTTCAAAGAAACAAGACGGAGTCCTGGAGGGGAGTTCCCTTTGGAGCTGGGTGTCTGCCTTGGCTCTTATGTATTTCTAATCACCCTGCACACGAATCCGTGCACCAGTAGCTTTCAACGGAGCCTGGCTGTTTCGCACCCGCTGCCCAGAGGCCCTCTGCGGCCAGGGCGGAACACTTGTCTTGTTGCTACAGCGACAAAGCAACCATTCCGCCAGGCTGCTCATGCTGCCTGCTCTCAGCGGCCACCCTCCCAGGATTGGGGGACTCCAGCAAGGCTGAGAAAATTGGGCACTGCCATCTTTTCGACAGTGATAATTGATTTGCATATTACCCTTTTATTAGATAGGATTATTATTATTATTTTAAATATATTTCATTGATTTTACACAGAGAGGAATTGAGAGGGATAGAGAGTTAGAAACGTCGATGAGAGAGAAACATCGACCAGCTGCCTCCTGCACACCCCCCACTGGGGATGTGCCTGCAACCAATGTACATGCCCTTGACCGGAATCGAACCCAGGACCCTTCAGTCCCCAGGCCGACGCTCTTCCACTGAGCCAAACCGGCTTCGGCGGATTATTATTATTTTTTCACTTGTGTAAATTTTTTTTCAAAACCAAAATATCAGAAAAAAATAACTAAGATCATATTAACTCTTCTAGTTCACAGAATATAAAAGTCCTTAAGAGATTTTTAAATGGATTTTTAGAGAGAGAGAAGAGAGAGGAACAGAAACATCAATGTCAAAAAGAAGCATGGCCCTAGCCAGTTTGGCTCAGTAGATAGACCATCAGTCTATGGACTGAAGGGTCCTGGGTTCAATTCTGGTCAAGGACTGCCTGGACAGTCCCCAGTAGGGGGTGTGCAGGAAGCAGCTGATGATAACTCTGTCATTATTGATGTTTCTCTCTCTCCCTCTCCCTTCCTCTGAAAAAAAAAAATTAAAAAAAAGAAAAGTCTTGCAGGCTGCCTGCTGCACATCCCCAACCAGGGATCGAGCCTGAAACGCAGGCATGTGCCCTGACTGGAATCGAACCTGCAACCTTTCGATGCATAGGATGATGTCCAATCAATGGAGCCATACCAGCCTGGGCCTTAAGAGATTTTTAAAAAATGTGTTTACTTACATTTACCTTAGAAATACACAACTATATATACAAATAAATAACCTTCATTAGTAGTCATCTAATGAAATGACTTCTTGAGGAACATTTTAAAATAAAATAGATAAGACACTCTTTTTAAATTTTCCTTCCCAAAGTGATGTGTAGGCATAACCTGCAGTGGCCTATATACAAATACAATTTATTTGCAAATACGGTTTTTATGCAAACACAAATATATAAGGGACTTGATTGAGCATTCTTGATTTTGGTATCTGTAGGGTTTCTGGAACCAATCTTTCTAGGATATGGAGAGATGCTTATATTGTGAAATGATTACCACAGAAGGGTTACTTAACATTTCTATCAACTCCCATAATTACAGCTTTTTTGGGGGGGATTGGGTCTCTTTTAATAATAATAATAGCAAACCCTTAATCAGTACTTCCTTGGAGCCAGCCCAACCTGAGAGCTGTACTTACCAGTCCTGATAATAAATCCCTGAGGCAGGAGGGGGCCAGGAATGGGGATGGGGAGCATCGGGACCAGCCTAGGACCCCTGACTGCTATCTCCCGCCTCTCCAGGGACCACGGAACTGGGGTCTGGCCTCTCTCTCTCAGTGCCTCCATCTGTGGAATGGGCTTGTGTTGGGAGGCAGGGGCTCCCGGTGACCCTTCATCTCCCCTCCGTCCCCACAGCCCCCAAGACCTGTTCCCCAGACGAGTTCCGCTGCCGTGACGGCAAGTGCATTGCCTCAGAGTTCATCTGTGACTCGGACCGAGACTGCCTGGACGGCTCGGACGAGGAGTCCTGCCCCCCGCCCACCTGCGGCCCCGCCAGCTTCCAGTGCAACAGCTCCTCCTGCATCCCTGAGCTGTGGGCCTGCGACGGCGACCCCGACTGCGATGATGGCTCAGACGAGTGGCCGCAGAACTGCGGGGGCCGCAACACGTCAGCCAAGCACGGGGACAACCCTTGCCTGGCCAGCGAGTTCCTCTGCCGCAGCGGCGAGTGCGTCCACCGGAGCTGGCGCTGCGACGGCAGCCCTGACTGCAAGGACAAGTCGGACGAGGAGCACTGCGGTGAGGGCGCCCTCCCCGCCCGGTCCCCGTGCTTCTGAGTGGTTAAACGATTTCAAATCACTTGCCTGTTTAATGAATCTCTTTTTTGAGAGGGGAGTAAGCCACAGCTGCAGTATTACTTTGGTTCAGAAAGAATCCTGGGCTCCAGGCCTGGCTGGGGGCATGGAGCTGAGTGACCCTTGGCCAAGGACACCACCTCACTGCGCTGTGGTGTCCTCCCCTGTTCAATGGGGCAATAGCGTTGGCCGTGGCGGGTCGGGATTAGAGTCCATGGCCACCCAATAGGACTTTCTGTGAAGGTGGAGGCTTCCTGTGTCTGCACTGTCTAGTACAGTAGCCGCTAGCCAACGTGGACAGTGCAACTGGAGAAGAGAATTCCTGTGTTGGAGACAGTGCAGATAAGGGCTCTGGCCCTGTGTCCGTGCTCCTTGAACCCACAGGCGGCTATTTCGAGGCTGGCGATGTGGAGTCACGGTGAATCCAGTAGGAATTTCCCTTTTTCTTTTCTTTTTTTTTTAATATATTTTATTGATTTTGTACAGAGAGGAAGGGAGAGAGATAGAGAGTTAGAAACATCGATGAGAGAGAGTCATCGACCAGCTGCCTCTTGCACACCCCCTACTGGGGATATGCCCGCAACCAAGGTACATGCCCTTGACCGGAATCGAACCCGGGTCCTTCAGTCCCCAAGCCGACGCTCTATCCATTGAGCCAAACCGGTTCCGGCAGGAATTTCCCTTTTTCTATGTCAGTTTCCATAGAGCCAATAAAATGTAATTGGACCTTCAAAGTCAAGTTTTAAAAACAATGCACGATGTTGTAGGTGGTCTGTTCGAAAACTTAACACAAGCTCATTTAATCCCCATCACTTGTGAACAGGCTCTCCCCACTCTTTACAGATGGGAAAACTGAGGCACAGAAAGACTGAATTATTTTCTGAGGACACATACTTGAGGAAACGAAAAATCCCATCCTCCTATCATTTGAACTGTCATCAGAGTTTAGGCTTCACTAAGGTTACCTTTGGTTGTTATTGTTTTTTTCCTTGATGTGAGGATATTACATATGGATTAAAAATAGGATCATTCCCCTTTTTACATATCACAGCAGACCAAGTGTCCACTTGTACATACAGAGTGCCAAAAAATTGAATTATTATTTTAAAGGTGGAAAGAGTTCATTCTGCTCACAGATTTAGTATCTCTTCTCACTCACATCCTGAAATCAAATTTTAAATTGTATACATTTTAATTGTGAAATACAGCCCAAAGGAAAGTGCATAAAAGAACATACAGCCTAACAACTTAGCACAAAGCAAATCCTGTGTGAGGTCAAGGGCTGGACTATGGTTGGCAGTACCCTATTCCATCACCATGGACATCCTCTGAGTTTTAATTGTAATGTCTTTTATCACATGGTTTCATGTCATCAATATTTCATATATTTGTAGTTTCAGTCATTTGAACAACTGCATTATACTCCTGTAAAGCTGTCGGAAAATTGCTTCTTCAAAAATGGGGATTCTTCCGTCTTCCCCTCTCCCTGAGAAGAATCAACACATGCTCTGTCTTTCCTAGCTGTGGCCACATGCCAGCCTGACGAGTTCCGGTGCTTTGATGGGACCTGCATCCATGGCAGCCAGCAGTGTGACAGGGAGCATGACTGCAAGGACATGAGTGATGAGCTTGGGTGCATCAATGGTGAGCTCTGCGTCTTGACACCCTAAACCATGGCAGAATACTGGGGTACCAGCAGGGTGGATCCCAGAGCAGGGCAGGGGCTCCCAGGTAGCCCCCCAAATAGCTGTGCCTCCCTTGGCAAGTTACTTGACCCCTCTCTGAAAAAATGTGCATAATGAAAGCACCTACTTCAGGACTGTGAGATTTAATGAGGTCAGAGTGTACAAAGCCCGTATCTTAGAGCTCAGAGTTATATACAAAATTCAATTCCATGTAAAAGACTTTCCTGAATTTAAACACAGAAATTCCACTCCTGGGAATGACCCCAGGAGAAACTTGTCCCCATGCACTAGGAACCTGGCTCTGGAAGGTCCAGAGAAGCACTGTGCTGATAGCAAAACCTTGGAAGCAGCCCAAATGTTCATCAGCAATAGAATTAATTTAAAAATTTTAATTGCAGTAAAATACAAATAACATAAGAATATTGCTTTTAAAAAAATAATGTTTATTTGATTGATTTTTAAAGAGGGAGAGAAAGGGAAAGGGAGGAGGAGGGAGAGAGAAACATCGATTTGTTGTTCCACTTACACACATTCATTAGTTGTTTCTTGTATGTGCTCTGACAAGGAATGGAACATGATATCATGCATATCGGGATGATGCTCTAAAGATATCAACTAAACTACTCAGCCAGGGCCAGGATACTACTTTTTACATGTTTCTTATGGCCCTGCCAGTGTGTTCAATGGTTAGAGTGTAGCTCACACACCAAAGAGTCTCAGGTTCAGTTCCCTGTCAAGGGCATGTGGCCTGGGTTACAGATTCTTTTCTGGGCTAGAAGATTAATTAAGATATTATGTTATTTAGAGACTGAAACAATTTAGTGAATAAGAGTGAAATTTGCCGAAGCCGGTTTGGCTCAGTGGTAGAGCGTCAGTCTGCGGACTGAAAGGTCCCAGGTTCGATTCCAGTCAGGGGCATGTACGTTGGTTGCGGGCACATCCCTGGTGGGGTGTGTGCAGGAAGCGGCTGGTCGATGTTTCTCTCTCATCGACGTTTCTAGCTCTCTATCTCTCTCCCTACCTCTCTGTAAAAAATCAATAAAAAAAATATTTTTTTAAAAAGTGAAATTTGATAATGCACTACCTTTTTTAAAATTGTGGTAAAGTACCTACAATATAAAATTTATCATTTTAATAATTTTAAAAATATATATTTTATTGATTTTAGGGAAGAAGGGAGAGGGAGAGAGAAACATCAATGATGAGACAAAATCATTAATTGGCTGCTTCCTGCACACCCCTACTGGGGATCAAGCTCATAATCCAGGCATATGCCCTTGACCCAAATCAAACCGGGGACCCTTTGGTCCACAGGCTAACACTCTATCCACTGAGCCAAACCAGCTAGGGCTGGGCTAAAGCTTTTCATCTATATATGTAAAAGGCTAAATGACTAACTGTACATTTGTCCATCTATTCAACCAGCCAGTACATCTGACATGCACTGGCAATTTAAAAATAAACATTGACTTGCACATGCGCGATACATATAAAGCTCTGGCTGGTGCCAATCGCACAAGTGTGTTTGATCTGTCATTGTTGATTGTGAATTTGGTTGGGGTTTTGTTGTTGTTGTTTTTCTTTCAGAATACACAAATGTGTTTTTATTTATTTTTTATTTTATTATTATTTTTTTAATATATATATTTTTATTGATTTTGTACAGAGAGGAAGGAAGAGAGATAGAGAGTTAGAAACATCGATGAGAGAGAGTCATCGATCAGCTGCCTCTTGCACACCCTTTACTGGGGATGTGCCCACAACCAAGGCACATGCCCCCGACCGGAATCGAACCCGGGACCCTTCAGTCCCCAAGCCAACGCTCTATCCATTGAGCCAAACCGGTCTCTGCCACAAATGTGTTTTTATTGATAAAGAATGTTTTTTACATTATTGCTAACTTAACCAAAAATTTTTGGTTGTTTTTAATGGTATTAGACTGATTATCAAAAGATTGTGACCTAACATAATTGAAGCTGAAGTATTAATAGGATATGTGGAAGGAGAGGTTGTTCTGATTCCAAGAATTGAACTTGTCCCTGACACTAGCCTCCCATTTAAATTAATTTGAAGACAGTTTCCCGTGATGCCAGCATTTGTGATGACTACTAATAAGTCACAAGAACAAACTCTAGACAGAGTAGGAATATTCCTACCTGACCCCGTTTTTGGACTTTGTCAGTTATACGTTGCTTTCTCTTGAGTTCGAAGAGTGTGTGACATTAAAGTTAAACTTGTAAATACTTCATCACAAGAGAAATTAGTCAAGCACTCTGAAAGTGTTTTCACTCTTAATGTGGTATACAAGGAGATATTAGAATAAGTTTAATCAGTTTATCAGTCATTGTTTTTATCAATGTTTTTAGCTCATGTTTTTGTTGACTTTATATCATGTCTTTGTTTTATCATGTTGCTATTGTTTACTTATTAATCAATTTATATATTATTTTTATATACATATTACTAATTTTCTTTCATCTCTGGCACTTCTATTATAGAGAAAAGGCAAATCATGATCTTAAAATATTTCTCCTAATTTCCTTTCGATGTGCACAATCCAGGCACTAGGCTACTAGTATTTTAAATAAACAAACAGTGGGTAAGTTTGCCCATGTTTCCTAGTTTGCCCAATCCTGCTCTTGGTAACATTCTAATTCTTTTTTTTCTTCTTTTTTTAAATATATTTTTATTGATTTCAGAGAGCAAAGAAGGAGGAGAGAGAGAGAAACATCCATGATGAGAGAGAATCATGGATTGGCTGCCTCCTGCAAGTCCCCCACTGGAGATTGAGCCCACAACCTGGGCATGTGCCTTTGACTGAAATCAAACCTGGGACCTTTCAGTTTGAAGGCCAACGCTCTATCCACAGAGCCAAACCGTCTAGGGCAACATTTTAATCCTTAAACTGGGTTTACGAGTGTTCAATAGTTAGTACATTTTATTAGTGAATACGTTTGCATAAAATCTTGTACAAATTGTTATATTATTAAAAAGCAGCTCAGAGCACTGACCCTCTTCTTTGACTCTCACAGTGACTCTGTGCGAGGGCCCCAACAAGTTCAAGTGCCACAGTGGCGAATGCATCACCATGGACAAAGTGTGCAACTCGGCCCGGGACTGCCGGGACTGGTCAGATGAGCCCATCAAGGAGTGTGGTGAGTCTCGGGGGGCAGGAAACCCTCGGAGCTCGTGGGGAGCTGGAAGCGGGACCCCGATACGGGCCTGTGGGGCTGCAGGGCTCAGCCCACCCATGCCCCCAAGGGCTTTGGCTCTGGGGCCAGACAGATGTGGGGGTCTTGGGATAAGTGGCTTTGCTCCAAGTCTCAGTTTTCACAGCTGTAGGATGGGACCACAGTTGTTCACACATCCTTGGACTGCTGGGGGTTGCCGATGGGATACTTGTAAAGTTCCAGCAATGTCCTGTGACCCATAGCTGTGTAAATGTTTGGATGTTTCCAGTACTATAGTCTCTTTTGCAACTAGACAACTAGGCCATTTTAGCAGAAAAGCAGTCATATGAATGCATTTGTACACATATGAATGTGTGTGGCTAAGTTCTAAGAAAACTTTATTATGGACACTGAAATTTGAATTTCATAGATCTTTTATGTGGTGTGAAATATTTTTATTTTGATGACTTTAAAAAAATATATGTTTATTGATTTCAGAGAGGAAGAGAGAGGGAGAGGGAACGAGAGATAGAAACAGCAATGATGAGAGAGAATCACTGATTGGCTGCCTCTTGCACACCCCCCACTGGGGATTGAGCCCACAACCCGGCATGTGCTCTTGACTGGAATCGAACGAGAGACCTTTCAGTCTATAATCCGAAGCTCTATTCTCTGAGCCAAACCAGCCAGGGCTATTTTGATTAATTTTTGAGAGTACATTTATTAACATTGCACTTGATCTTAGCCTAAAGGCTGAGAAGCAATTGGATCTCTGCACCGGGGACAGGGAAACAAGGAAGGGTTTAGAATTGAAGAAGACACAGGAGAGCGCGGAGGGGGACTGCTGTACCTCTAGAAATGTTATAGGAAAGACGTGAGCCTAGGCAGGGCTAGCTTAGCTCACGGGAAGTCAGAGAAAAGGGGGCTTGGAGACAGGCTCAGAGGGTCGCCCCGATGAGCTGCTACTGCCCACTGCTCCCCTGGGAACAAGTCTCGTGAGGACCCTTAGCGATTAGGAGGTGCATATCTGTTGGGGAAGAGGGAGGGAGGGAGACCACACCAGTTCTTACTTTTCCTTTTAACTACTTAAAAATGTAGAATCGTTCTTAACTGTTGGCCTGTTGAAGAACAGGTGGGTGGCAGGCTTGGTTGTAAAGAGTTAACAGATGGATCCTGGAGCCAAAGGCCCTAGGTTCGAGCCCAGCAGTGTGATCTTGGATGTGCCTCAGTTTCCCCAGATATCTTTAGGGTTGTTGGGTGGATTAAATAAGTTAATATACAGGGACTGGCAAAAGTAGGTTTACAGTTGTGAGTTCACGAATTCTTGTATTATTTATTAATTATTGTATCATTTTCCATACAAACAACTGTAAACCTACTTTGCCCACTTCTATATGTAACTATAGTGTGTGATTTACAGTTTTTATCAATAATTTTTTTTTAAATTGTGGTTGAAGAAAGCAATAAGATTTATCATAACCATTTAAAAATATGTTTTTATTGCCGAAACCTGTTTGGCTCAATGGATAGAGCGTCGGCTTGGGAACTGAAAGGTCCCGGGTTCGATTCCGGTTAAGGGCATGTACTTTGGTTGTGGGCATATCCCCAGTAGGGGGTGTGCAAGAGGCAGCTGATCGATGACTCTCTCTCGTCGATGTTTATAATTCTCTATCTCTCTCCCTCCCTCTCTGTACAAAATCAAGAAAATATATTTAAAAATAATAATAATACATCGCTTCTCGGCCTTTTGGCTAAGATCAAGTGTAAAAATAATAATAATAATAAAAAAATAAAATAAAAATATGTTTTTATTGATTTTAGAGAGAAGAAGCAAGAGGGAGATAGAAATATCAATGATGAGAATCATTGATTGCCTGTCTCCTGCATGGCCCTACTGGGGATCGAGCCCACAACCCTGGCATGTACCCTGACTAGGAATCAAACTGTGACCTCTTAGTTCATGGGTTGATGCTCAACCACTGAGCCACACCAGCCAGGCTCTCATAGCCATTGTTAAGTGTGCAAATCAGTATCATTAAGCAGATTCACATTGTTGTGCAGCCATCACCACTGTTTATTTCCCAGACTTTCTCATCTTCCCAAACTGAAACTGTTCCCAAACTCAAACCACCCCCCTCCCCATGGCACCCATCATTCTACTCTTTGTCTAAGAACCTTATATAGGCGGGATCACACAGGATTTGACCTTTTGTGCGTGGCTTCTGTCACTCAGCACAGTGTCCTCCAGGCCCATTTTTGACATAGCACGTGACAGTGGTATTTTACGTCCTAATTCTTAGGATCGTGGCACTTCACTGGCCTCACACTCATTGCGGTGATTGTGATGAAGATAGCAAAATAGAGAGGGTGGCTGGGAAGGGTGGCCAGAGGCCTGAGTGTGACCATCTGTCCCCCGCTCGCTGCAGAGACCAACGAGTGCCTGACCAACAAGGGTGGCTGCTCCCACCTCTGCAAAGACCTCAAGATTGGCTACGAGTGCTTGTGTCCTGAGGGCTTCCGGCTGGTGGACCAGCGAAGATGTGAAGGTGATTCCTAAGCTTGGAGGGTTCCAGACCTCCCCAGCCCTTCCCCCTGATACGGTGGCCAAGCCCTCTGTGCCTTGGTTTCCCCATCTGTGTTTGTGGGCCGTCTCCACTCACAGGGCTATTAGGAGGATTTAACACAATGCCATAGGCATGGGGAGTCTAGAATAGGCTTAGCCCATTGGCACACTTGGTCCTTGCTTTGGGAGTCATCATTTTAAAAAGGAGCCCAGGCTGGGTAGCTTTGTTTGTTAGAGCATCGGACCCAAATGCCAAGGTTGCGGGTTCTAGCCTCAGGCATATGCCTTTGACCAGGACTCGAACCCACTATCCTTCGGTGTGAGGGCCGATGCTCTAACCACCCTGCTCACTGGCCAGGGCATTAGAAATGATTCTTTGCTGTTTTTAAAATTTTATTTCTGAACCTCATAGTTATGAGACGCCAGCCCTGTAGGAGGAGATGCTGTCCCCCAGTTACCATTATAGGGCATAGCTTTGTGTTGGGGCCCATCATTCTATCAGCGGGGAAGATGCCCAAACCTTTCTCTGTCCCAACTCATAGATATCGACGAGTGTGAGGACCCCGACGCCTGCAGCCAGCTCTGTGTGAACTCAGTGGGCAGCTACCAGTGCAAGTGTGAAGAGGGCTTCCGGCTGGACCCCGTCACCAAGGGCTGCAAGGCTGTGGGTGAGTGCCCCGAGGTGCCCGAGGAGCCTGGCCTGGCCGCTCCGAAGGCAAACAGGTGGGGAGTTGCATCATCTGAACGTTACATCATCTGAACGTTACATCATCTGAACTGTGGACAGGCTGTTCACTCCCGGGACCACTGGCAGGTAACGGAGCACGTGCAGTTAGGACTCGGGCTTGCTAGAAGGCTGCCCTCACGTGTCTGGCTTCTCAGCAGACACAGGTCAACCTCTGGGAGGTGGTTTTTCAGCTCATAGACACCACTGGAGACTTCAGAGGGCAAGAGGTGGAAAGCCATGGCTCCAAACAGCCTGCACCCCCTCCAGCTTTTATTAGCTAAAGGTACTTGCACACACACACACACACACACACACACACACAAAAAGCAAATACATTTAAAAGAGAACAAAATATAATAGTTCATAATGAAACAGAATAGTAGATATAGTTGAGTTTTATTTCCTACCTGAACTTTAGGTTAGAAAACAGCAAGCAGGCACTAATCATTACAATCACCTAAATCAAGGGTGCCCATGGTTTTGGAGGCGTAATTGCTCTGGCAGATTTATCAGCCAGGAGGTCGCCCAGACATTCTTTGTTTTGCCTCACATTCTGCTCTTACAGTGTGATTCCAGCAAGGGTCAGTTTTGCAGAAATGTTTTAGAGCTTGTTCTGTTTCCCCAAGAACATCCCTTCTCCACTGTTGTCAGCTTCTGTCCTCCCTCTGTCACATCCCCATGTATGTCCTGGTTCTGGAGAAGATTGGAGGGTGAATTCCTGAAATCCTCCAGGATTTGAGATTTTACTTTCCTTCCAATGTGTAGTGTCAGTATCTGTACGGATGCCACCCGAGGGGCGGGGATATTCTGAGTGAGGTCAGTTGTAGAAGTGGTCAGTTTGTTAGAGCATATCAGTGTCATGGTTACAGCACAGCCCCAGAGTCAGAGAGACCCAGATTCAAATCCTGGCTCTGTTGCTCACTACCTGTATGACCTAGGGCAGGTCCCTTTCCCTCTCTGGGCCTCAGCCTCTTTATCTGTAAAAGGGATTGACAACAGCACCTGCCTTATAGGAGTGTGAGAATCAGTGAGGAAAAGCTTAAGTAAGAAAAGCACTAAAAAGAATTCCCTGCTCTAAGGAGTCATTCTGTACAAATTAACTCATCATTTCTTCATCTTCCTGTTCTAAAATGTAGAGTGCTGGGGCCCAGGTGTTTAAAATGTAGCTTTCACTGTTATGCGCCTGTGGTGAGGCCAGCGGATAGGGAGATGGCTGCCCCTGGAAAGCTAGTTTGTTTCTCACAGACCCCAGAGGAGGAGACGCATCCCACCAGGCAGGGCTCCACGGGAAGGCACCAGGGTGTCAGGAAGCAGAGGGAGCGGGGAAATGGGGCAGGAGCCTTTGTCGAGGTTTCTCAGGAAGGACAGGCTTAGGACTGGCTAGCTGGAAGGATTTCAGTGGGCTCTGGGTGCAGGGACTGTCCCTGGTGTTGGTTCCTGGCCGTGGGATGACCATGGCCAGGGCACAGTGGAGTGTGAGGAGGTGAAGGAGGTGGTGGGTGTGGGCTGGTTGGTTTGCATTTGAGGCGAGTGGGTGACTGAGCCTAGGAACCGCGAGGCCTGGGAGGGGCCGTCCCACCGGCATCTGCAAGACTCGGGGGTCAGAGCATCAGAACCGCGTTGTTGTTTTTTTTGTTTTTGTTTTTGTTTTTTTAAATATATTTTATTGATTTTTTTTACAGAGAGGAAGGGAGAGAGATAGTCAGAAACATCGATGAGAGAGAATCATCGATCAGCTGCCTCTTGCACCAGCCCCACTGGGGATGTGCCCGCAACCAAGGTACATGCCCTTGACTGGAATCGAACCTGGGACCTTTCAGTTCGCAGGCCGACGCTCTATCCACTGAGCTAAACCGGTTTCGGCCAGAACCTCGTTGTTGATACACGAGGGAGGCGCGTGCACCCCATGTCCGGGGCATACTCCCTGTTCAGCCAGGCCCCAGAAACAGATCCGGGGTCCCTTCCACTCCCCTGAGCTCCCTCCGTGGCTCCACAGACACCATCGCCTATCTCTTCTTCACCAACCGCCACGAGGTGAGGAAGATGACACTGGACCGCAGCGAATACACCAGCCTCATCCCCAACCTGAAGAACGTGGTCGCCCTGGACGTGGAAGTGGGCAGCCACAGGGTCTATTGGTCCGACTTGTCCCAAAGGAAGATCTACAGGTGAGCCTCAGCCCATGCCCACCCCACCCAGTGAGCAAACATGGCCTCGGGCACTGACTCCTCCTCCTCCTCCTCCTCCTCCTCCTCCTCCTCCTCCTCCTCCTCCTCCCTCCTCAGCACCCAGATCCACAGAGCGTCCAGCTCCTCCTATGACACCATCATCGACAAGGACCTGCAGGCTCCCGACGGGCTGGCCGTGGACTGGATTCATGGCAACCTCTACTGGACTGACTCCATCCTGGGCACCGTCTCCGTGGCGGACACCAAGGGCGTGAAGAGAAAGACCCTCTTCAAGGAGAAAGGCTCCAAGCCGAGGGCCATTGTGGTGGATCCCCGTCACGGGTGGGTGTTCCCAAAGCTGAGGGGCACGGAGAGCAGGAAGAACCAGCTCGGACTCATGGGGGGAGGCTCGTGCCCCAAGTAGACTCAACTGAGGTGGGGGCTGAACGGGGCCCTTCCCCACCTGCCCTCTGGGCTGTGGGATCCATCCCTCTGACGCCTGCTGTGCCACCTGAGGTGCAAGCAGACCCTGAAAAGTCCTGGCCTGTGGAGTAGAATCCACAACCAGAAATTAATACTGCTGCAACCTGGTATTAGGAATTCATACTTATTTGAAATTGGAAAGTAAAAATCGGATTTAGTCTTTTGTGCCAGGACAGGAGTGGAGAAAAGTAAACTTGCACCGGCCCGACGTTAATCGATGGACAGGGTGTGGGCTGCGGACGTGACAGGGGTGAAGGTCACCCCCTGGGAGGCCCCAGACAGGTGTCCACAGGGCTCATGGCTGACGCAGCAACTCTAGGGCCCACAGGCAGGAGGGAAGCATGGCCAGTCTGTACCTGCCCGACCACGTCTGCCACCACGGCCTGCCACGTGGGGGAGGTCATAGACCCTGGCAGCCCCGATGGGCAAACGTAATCAGAGGACAGGGAGCATTTGGCTGTGAGCATGATGATGGGACAGACCCTGTGGTCAGATGGGCCCACAGGCCTGGGTCCTCCCGATGGGCCAGGGTTTATTTAACTGCTATTCAAATCAGTACATGAACTTAGAATTTTAAATCCCCCTTTTTTATCCTACCTCTCACAAAGGAGCACTGCTTTATTGCGGTGGTCTGGAACCAACACATGAATATCTCTGAGGAATGCCTACATATGTGTTGGGAAAGCAAAAAAAATAAAAATTTTAAATTGCAAAAAGATGAAAAAATTGTAAAACCCTCAGAAAGCCCGGCTGGCTTGGCTAAGTGGTTGAGCATATGAACCTGGAGGTCACAGGTTCGATTCCCAATCAGGGCATATGCCTGAATTTCGGGCTCTATCCCCAGTGTGGGGCATGTAGAAGGTAGCCGGTCAATAATTCTTTTTTCATCGTTGATGTTTTTCTATCTCTCTCTCCCTCTCCCTTCCTGTCTGAAGTAAATAAACTCAATAAAAATATTTAAAAAAAACAACAACTTAAAAACATGCACAACAGTGGTGAAACTTAGAGTAATTAAATATTAAAAACAAAAACAAAAACAAAAAACCCACCCTCAGAAAGTAGTGTTTAGAGTGCAAGTTCCTGGGCCCCAGTCAAAACCTCCATTTTTTCTTGAAGGTTCTAAAATCCCGCCAGGTCTCACCAGGTGGCAGGCCTTGGGGTAGGGCAGAAGGAACCAACCTGAGGTCTCCCCAGGGCCTGTGTGGGACCCTGGCCTGGCCGCTTCAGGATGGTTTTTCATTGGTTTTTAGAGAGAGAGGGGGAAAGAGAGGGAAAGACAGAGAGAAATACCGATGTGAGAGAAACATATTAGTTGGTTGCTTCCTGCACGTGCCCTGACCAGGGCCCTGACTGGGGAGGAGCCTGCAACCACAGTACATGCCCTTGACCAGAATCGAACCTGGGACCCTTGGTCTGCAGGCCGACGCTCTCTCCACTGAGCCAAACTGGCCAGGGCTGCAAGCTGCTCTTCAATGTTGTCTGGGAGCCATCATTTTGGCTGTGTTCTGAGTGTCTGTTCTCTCTATTCTCCCTCCAGCTTCATGTATTGGACGGATTGGGGGACCCCTGCCAAGATCAAGAAGGGGGGCCTGAATGGCGTGGACATTCACTCACTGGTGACAGAGGACATCCAGTGGCCCAATGGCATCACCCTGGGTATGTTTTGAGGGACGGCGGTCTCCAGGGGTGAGCACAGTCTAGATGAGGGAGGAGAGTGGCCAGGTCACCCTGCACACCACGCAGCTCCCCGAGTTGTATATCTCCCCCACCCCAGCATTTGGTTCAGGCTCACCAGCAGGGGTGTGGTCAGAGTGGCTTTTCCGGGCACACTTCTGCTGGGTCCTTCGGGGGCTCTTCCTGCAGCAGAGTGACCAGGCCCAGGGGCCCCTCTGGCATCAACACATGACTTCTTCTTGTCCACTTGTGGGTTCTAGATCTTTCCAGCGACCGCCTCTACTGGGTCGACTCCAAGCTCCACTCCATCTCCAGCATCGACGTCACCGGGAGGCACCGGAAGACAATTTTGGAGGACAAGAAGAGGCTGGCGCACCCCTTCTCCTTGGCCATCTTTGAGGTGGGGGCTGGGAGCACGTGGGCGCTCCCCTGGGGTTTGAGGGAATGCCCAGCCCAGTGCTGTTTACTGAGCGCCACTCATGTCTGAGGTGTGAGCGCGCACGCCAACAGGTCAGCTGGCAGGGTCTAGTTCGTGCAAGCCGAGACTAACTCAGGGCTTACACCTCTTCAACCATCGTTTCTGTGTTATTCTCGCCAGAAGGATTCTCAAGGGTCTGAAGCAGCAGCTCTCACACCGAGGCAGTTTGCTGCCCAGAGCATTTGGGAATGTCCGGAGCTTGTGGCAGGGCTGCTACGGTAAGGTGACCAGAGGTCCCGATTTTGGCAGGACAGTCCCGATTTTTTGGCGGGACAGTCCCGGGATGCAGGACAAATTGTTAAAAATCGGGACGTCTGGTCACCTTATACTATGGGCCTCTAGTGAGTGAAGGCCCGGATGCTGCGAAATAGCCTGCAAGAGGAGCCACCACAAAGAGCCATTGGCCCCACGTAGCACCCCAGTGGGGGAATTCTGTCTAGAGAAATGGTGTTCTGTTTGGTAGACCCTGATTCATAACAGCCAAGAGGTGAAGGCAGCGTGTGTCTGTCTGGGATGAATGGATAAGCCCCACATAGTCCATCCTTACGGCAGAATCTCATTCAGCCTTAACAAGGAAGGAATTGGCGACAGCGCTACCCTATGGATGCACCTTGAGGACATCCTGCTGAGTGAAATAAGCCAGTCACAGAAGGACGAATATTGGACGGCTCCCCTCGCAGGAGGTCCCTAAGGAGTCCTATCTAGAGAGACAGGAAGTAGATGGGGAGCCAGGGCTGCAGAAGTGTTTAATGGAGACAGAGTTTCCGTTTGGGAAGATGAGAACGTTCTGGAGGGGGATGGTGGTGATGACTGCCCAACACAGTGAATGTATTGAATCCCAGGGCACGGACAAAGAAAATGATCAAGATGGTATATTTTGTTTTCTGTGTGTTTTACCACAATTAAACTTTGTTTTCAGAAGAAGAAATGATGCTACTACCTAGATGTGCTGCTTCCCAGAGACCCTCCGAGGCTCGGGAGTGGGGAAGACAGTGGTCTGCCCTTCCCAGTGCTTAATGGGGTCTGTCTTCTTCCTCACCGCCTGTGTAGGATAAAGTATTTTGGACGGATATCATCAACGAAGCCATTTTTAGCGCCAACCGCCACACGGGGTCCGACGTTACTTTGATGGCAGAAAACCTGTTGTCCCCGGAGGACATTGTCCTTTCCCACCGCCTCACACAGCCAAAAGGTGAAGGCGGGGTGCTCACCCTCTCCCACTTCTCTGAGAGAGCTCTGCAGTTTTCTAGAATTTTCTGACCTCGTTTTTGCCCTGACTCCCTGCCTTTTGCACCTCAGGGGTAAACTGGTGTGAGACAGCTTTCTACTCCTACGGCGGCTGCCGGTACCTGTGTCTCCCGGCCCCACAGATCAATTCCTTCTCACCCAAGTTCACCTGTGCCTGCCCTGATGGCATGTTGCTGGCCGAGGACAGGAGGAGCTGCCGCCCAGGTAGGGGACACCAGCCTGCCTGGCACAAGTCCTGCTTCTGCCACCTTCTCGACTCCGCCTGAGCCTCTCTTTGCCCATCTGTCAAATGAGAGAGCAAGGCCCCCAGGGGCCATTGTAAGGACTCGTTAGCAGGGGTAACGGTGGTCTGCGTTTCTTAAATACTAGAGAGGCCCGGTGCAAGGGGGTTCGGGGGATGTTCCTTAGCCCAACCTGCACTCTCTCCAATCTGGGATCCCTCGGGGGGATGTCCAGCTGCCTCTCTCAGTCAGGGTCCGCTGGCTCCTTCCTAACCACTCGCCTGCCTGCCTGCCTGATTGCATTTAACCCCTCTGCCTGCCTTACAGATCACTCCTAACCATCTCTGCCTGCCTGATTGCCCCTAAATATCTCTGCCTGCCTGGATGATCACCCCTAACTGCTCCCCTACAGGCCTGATCACTCCTAACTGCTCCCCTGTTGGCCTGATCACCTCTAACTGACTCTGCTTCACCCTGCACACAGGACCCCTGGTTCCCTCCTCCTGCCGGTTATAGGTACCCAGGGCCTGGGCTTCCCTCCCTCTGGCTGGCCGCAAGCATCCAGAAACTGGGCCAGCCACAGCCACAGGTGCCCAGGATTGTGGGGTGGGTGGCTTGTCCCTCTCCCAGGCCACAGGCCCAACCACTGGCGCAGGGCTGGTGGCTTGTTCCTCTTCTGCGCCATAGCCTGGCTGGTCTTCATTCCTCTCTCCCCAGTGTTATGTCTGAGCCATTAAGCATGATGGTGTGAGAGTGTGATGACCATTTGCATATTTGCTCTTTATTATAAAGGATTGAACATATCAGCACTGTGCTAGACACTTACACTCAGTTTATTTTTAAAAAAATATATTTTATTGATTTTTTACAGAGAGGGAGAGAGACATCAATGAGAGAGAGTCATTGATCAGCTGCCTCTTGCACACCCCCTACTGGGGATATGCCCACAACCAAGGTACATGCCCTTGACCGGAATCGAACCCGGGACCTTTCAGTCCCCAAGCCGACGCTCTATCCATTGAGCCAAACCGGTTTCGGAAGTAACTGATATTATTTATTTTATTTTTTTAAATCACTTTTATTCATTTTTTTAAAATCTTTATTGCTGAAAGTATTACATATGTCACCTTTTTTCACCATCGACCCCCTCCAGCTGCCCCCTGCCCCCCCGCCCCCCCCCACCCCATCCCTCACCACCCTGCTGTCTGTGTCTAAGGGTTATGCATATATGCATACAAGCTCTTTGGTTAATTAGGGGAGGTGGCTGATTTTAGAGCAATGGCTCTTTTCAATTATGTATATATATTTATGTTGCTAAAACAACTGGTCATTTAATTTCAAATACCAGTATTTTTCTGAAGTCTTTTGGTATGTCCACTCTTGCATCCCTTAAGAGTCCAGTGTTAGGAAGTTTTCCCACCAGCTTAATATACTTTAATTTCCCTCCAAGTTCATAGGTTGGGTTATTTTGAGGAGGAGGAGGAGATCTCTTTTATATTTAGGAATTTAAAAAAAACACTGTAGACTTTCATATGATTCTGAGCTTCATGTGATTCTGAGCTTTCCCTTAAAAAAGAAAACAAAACAAACTTGTTTCTTTTTGCTGCTGCCATAAATATTTTTGTTCCTTCATTTCAGTTCGGAACCCCGGTTCTTACTACATTTCAGCTTATCCTTTTAGTTCCTATGAAAGTATTTTGAGATTGTGTGGTTGGTTGTCTCATTTTATTTCTCTTTTTCTGCATATCTTGATTATTATTATTATTTTTTAAAAATATATTTTATTGATTTTGTACAGAGAAGAAGGGAGAGAGATAGAGAGTTAGAAACATCGATGAGAGAGAGTCATCGATCAGCTGCCTCTTGCACACCCTCTACTGGGGATATGCCCGCAACCAACGTACATGCCCTTGACCGGAATCGAACCCGGGACCTTTCAGTCCCCAAGCCGACGCTCTATCCATTGAGCCAAACCGGTTTCGGCTTGATTATTTTTTTATCTGACATTTAAACTTTTAAAAACGTTCACAGAAAAATCAGGGTACGTTTTGCTCACAGTTGCTTTCCAGTCCTTGAGCAGATCTGTCTGTGCAGGTGGGTAGGAAGGAGGGGTAGAGGGGCAGCATCAGAAGTCCTTCCTCAAGTGCAAGCTTGTGCTCAGTGCTGGTGGCCCCGAGATACAAGCCTCTGGGCATGGCAGCTGGCTCTGTTCTCCAGGAACTGCTTGTTTGAACCGACGCTCTTGTAGCCTTAGATACCGGAAGAGTAACCTTTGGTGACTTCACAGGTGCTTGCTGCACAGGCCAGTGCCAGTGTACCCGTTATTCTTTCTTGTCCACAACGAGCAGCGTGGAGGAGAATGCCACTTCCTTTCCATCTTTTTTCTTCTTCCTTCTTTCTGCAGAGTTGGGGGTCATCATCTTATTTACATAATATTGTCCTTCTTTATTACACTCATTGTTTTGCCCTTGTAGCCAGAAACTTTAAAAGAAAAAACCCTTAGATTAGATTCAAGCTTATGCAGGGCACACACCTCTCATGCGATTGCAGTCAAGCTCCCAGCCAGGGCTGCCGTCATGTGAAGGTTCGCCCGCGGCGGGAATAGCTGCTTCTAAGGTGGCTTACGCGTAGCTGTTGCAGCAGGACTCGGTTTCATGCTGGTTACGTTTCCACTGCAGGGCCTGTCCACAGGGCTGCTCCCAGTGACATGGGGGGATGTATGGAATGTGTGATTCCCTCCACCTCCCACCCCCAAAGTTTATATGTTGAAAGCATGTTGTTGCCGAAACCGGTTTGGCTCAGTGGATAGAGCGTCGGCCTGCGGACTGAGGGGTCCCAGGTTCGATTCCGGTCAAGGGCATGTACCTTGGTTGCAGGCACATCCCCAATAGGGGGTGTGCAAGAGGCAGCTGATCGATGATTCTCTCTCATCGATGTTTCTGACTCTCTATCCCTCTCTCTTCCTCTCTATAAAAAATCAATAAAATATATTTTAAAAAAAAGAAAAAAAGAAAAAAAGAAAGCATATTGTTGAGGCCTGGCCAGGGAGCTCAGTTGGTTAGAGCGTCATCCGGATATGGCAAGTTAGCGGGTTTAAAATCTAAACATTCAAGAATCAACCAATGAATGCCTAAATAAGTGGAACAATGACTCTCTCTCTCTCTTTCATCTCTCTCTCTCACTTTCTTTCTTTCAACAAAGTTATAGAAAGTATATTGTTGAAATAGAATCTGCCCTTTTCAATTTTTCTCATCCTCAGAGAAAGTCTCAGTTTGGAGCTAGTGTCCATAACACTGTGATCTCCCTCTCCGGAAGCAGACATCAGCATGCTAGCATTCTCGCTGCTTTTGATTTCAGTTATTTCTCTGTGGCCGTTGGCCCTCACAGGCACGTGTTACTGTAAGCAGCACAGAGCTTTGAGAGCGCTCCTCGGCCACAGGGCACTCAGGAAATGTCTGATCTTTCCAACACAGAACCTGTAGTGACCACCCAGGCCCCCAACATGACTCGCTCCACTGTGACCACTCCTGAGCTCACCACCGCCAAGATGGTGACGAAGACCCACCAAGGTAAAGGCCAGGGCCACCCAGGGCCCCAGCTCATCCCGATGAGCATCCAGGTGGGCTCGTTCAGGGGCCAGAGCAACTCAGTGATGAGCTAGAGAGTGCAGTTAGTTTGGGCTCCTTTGCTGACTCTCTCTGACATAGCCTGTGTATCTCTGACGCCTCACTGTCCCTACTTATAAAAGAGGCTGGTGCCAAGATCCGTTTGGCTCAATGGATAGAGTGTCGGCTTGGGGACTGAAAGGTCCCGGGTTCGATTCTGATCAAGGGCATGTACCTTGGTTGCGGGCATATCCCCAGTAGGGGGTTGAAGAGTCTGAGCTCATGGTGGCTGCTGACCCCAGAGTCTACCAGGCGCCCGGGCCCAGGGGTGTGAAGTGTTGTCCAGGCCCATTCACTGTCCTGCTTTCAGGTGTGTGCCCAGCAGGGCCAGCAGGAGGGTGAGTCAGGTAAGGTACTCCTCAAGGCAGCACCCGAGGGGCACCAAGAAACTCAGGACTCAGTATGTTAATCTGTTATTTTAAAAAATCAAATTGCCAAGCGATAGCCCGTGGGGCCAACCACCTGTTGTAAATAAAGTTTGATTCGAGCCAGGGTCCTAGGAAGGCAGGATCATTCTAGGGTCAGATCCAGTCTTCCTAAAAATCTGGGTATTTTGTTCATCGTAGGGTATTGGAATTAATTTTTATTTTTAAAAATAATTCATCACCCAGCCGGTGTAACTCAGTGGTTGAGCATTGACCTATGAACCAAGAGATCATGGTTCAATTCCTGGTCAGGGAACATGCCCGGGTTTTAGGCTCGATACTTAGTAGGGGGCGTGCAGGAGGCAGCGATCAATTATCCTCTCTCATCATTGATCTTTCTCTCTCTCCCTCTCCCTTCCTCTTTCTTAAATCAATAAAAATATATATTTAAAAAATTGCCGGGACCGGTTTGGCTCAATGGATAGAGCATCGGCTTGGGGACTGAAGGGTCCCGGGTTCGATTCCAGTCAAGGGCATGTACCTTGGTTGTGGGCATATCCCCAGTAGGGGTGTGCAAGAGGCAGCTGATCGATGACTCTCTCTCATCGATGTTTCTCACTCTCTATCTCTCTCCCTTTCTCTCTGTAAAAAATCAATAAAATATATTAAAAAAAAGATATCATTGCCCTGGCTGGCATGCTCAGTGGTTAGAGTGTCGGCCCACACACCAAAGGTCCCAGGTTCAATTCCCGGTCAAGGGCAAATACTGGATTTTGGATCCCAGCCTTTACCTCCACTCTCTGAAAAGCAATGGAAAAAATATTGTCTGGTGAGGATAAACAAACAAAACTAAAATACTGCTGAATTATTGAATTGGGGCTGGAGGAGCTTTAATTTTTGTGCTTCAGGCCAGTGACTCTCCTCATCTTAGCCTGGCCTACGGTCATGACCGCCTTGGAGGAGGTTAGAACTGGGCTCTCAGTGAATTGATCATAGACCCATCATTTTTGTCTTTGTCCACCAGAGGGCGCCCGGCCTAGCTTTTGAGCAACCGGAAATGGAGCTCATGGACTTTTCTGGCCAGAAAAAAAAGTCACATCAGCATGTTTCAGACATATTTCCCCCTCGGAGTAGTTGAAGCCTTTGTTCAGCCATAAACGAGATAAAACAGGAACTGCTGTGCTTATGGGATGCCTGGAACCCTTCTCACGTGGGGGGTTTGAAAAGCCATTTCACGGGCAGGCCCGTCCAGGGCTCTGGAATTTGGCAAAGGATCCTTTGTAAGGGAAAAACTTCTCAAAAACCCTGCTGCTGCCCTAGGTTATTGTTGTCACAAGGCTTCTTAAATATTTGCAAATGCAATACTGGGTATCAATTTCATATACACATGACCAACAGCCAGTAGCATTGAAACCCAGATGGATTTGAACACGGTGATAACCACAGCTCACCAGCCTACCTGTACCCGGATGTGGCTCCTTTTATCTTCCTAGCCTGTTTTTCTCTTTAGAGACCTCTACAATTTAAAATATATATATATATATATATTTATTGATTTCAGCGAGGAAGGTAGAGGGAGAGAGAAATAGAAATATTGATGATGAGAGAGAATCACGGATTAGCTGCCTCCCAAATGCCCCCACTGGGGACTGAGCCCACTCCCCAGGCATGTGCCCTGACCAGGAAGACCTCCTAGTTCATAGTTCGATGCTCAACCACTGAGCCACTCATGTGCATGGAGCCCCTTGTTGTCTGGCTCAGGTGCATTTGCATGGTGAGTGGTTATATATTGAGGTGTCTTTCCCCACCCCGATATATTTTATTAGCTGGGGACAATTGACACAGGACTATGAGCTTGGTGCGATTCAACCAGACTCTGGAATTGGTGGACCCGTGAAGCAAAGGCTCATTACCATTAAATGCAGAGCCCAGTTGAAAATTTTCTCCAGAGCCCTGTTAATTTCAACACCACAGAGTCTGTAACTCGAGTTGCTAACAAACGAGGCCCGAAGCCCGGGCACAAGCCATCGTGCTGCCCTTGGATCCTGGGAGATGCTCCAAGTTCCTCTAAATGTTTAAGGGCAGTGGGAGGTGCCAGGTGCTTCCCTTTGGGTGTTAGCCATCCTATCCCTGCTGTTTGAATGGCCTGCCTAAGGGTCTGAGCCTCACTGTCTCCCTTTCCCCCTGCAGCCCCGAAGAACATTCCTAACATAGAGGACGGGAAGGAGAGGCCCCGGGGCGTGAACTCGCTCTACATCGTCCTCCCCATCGGTAAGCCCACTGGCCACTGGCCGGCCCTCCCTCTGTTCCCTGGCCTCCCTGCTAGTCGCCTTTTCTCTCAGGAATGGGGTGTCCCCACCATGTGTCCTGTTATCACTGCACTCCCCTTCCTAGCTTCATTCATTTAACAAATCTAGGTGAGGGCCTCCCACATACCAAACCTGTTTCTGGGGACACAGCTGTGAAAGAAATAAACACCTTGCCCCGTGGGTGCCCACGTGATGGTCAGATGGGGGATGAGCCCGAGGCCCTGGGGCGCTGACACCAGGGGGGGCGAGAATGCTTCTCTTGCGGGGGCGAGTTTGCAGAGCTCCACGGTCCCGTCCTCAGCCTGTCAATCATAGCTCAGCTAGCATCGCCCGTTCCTTTTGTGAAGAAATCCTTTTGAGGCGTCCTGTCAGCATCCAGCCTGCCCACAGATACTTTTATTTTGGTGCCCAACAGTCATCCGACTGTGGGTTGACAGACGTGTCAAGTGGGACCCTCACCCCCTGGTGGCCTCCAAGTGTGTGCTGCCCTACGTGTCTCCCACCCTCTGGGCACTGCCCAGGCTGTTTCACAAACTGGGCTGTGCATGTCCTCGGCTGTGCCCTGGGTCTAAAAAGGAGTAGCCCCGTGCGTGGGCAGTCCCTGAAGAAACCAGAAGAATCCTCCACGGTTGAGCATTTCCGGGGTGAGGCGGTCACAGAGGTCTTCGAGTGAGAGATTGGTTATGCTTACCAATAGGGTTTCACAATGGGCAAGGATTTCCTTAAATCAGAACAAAGCCACTCACAAATAAAAAGGCTGGAGTTTGCCGAAACCGGTTTGGCTCAGTGGTAGAGCGTTGGTCTGCGAACTGAAAGGTCCCAGGTTCGATTCCGGTCAAGGGCATGTACATTGGTTGTGGGCACATCCCCAGTAGGGGGTGTGCAAGAGGCAGCTGGTCGATGTTTCTCTCTCATCGATGTTTCTAGCTCTCTATCCCTCTCTTCTCCTCTCTGTAAAAAAATCAATAAAATATTTTTTAAAATATATCTTATTGATTTTGTACAGAGAGGAAGGGAGAGAGACAGAGAGTTAGAAACATCGATGAGAGAGAGTCATCGACCAGCTGCCTCTTGCACACCCCCCACTGGGGATATGCCCCCAACCAAGGTACATGCCCTTGACCGGAATCGAACCTGGAGCCCTTCACGCTTTATCCATTGAGCCAAACCGGTCTTGGCAAAATCAATAAAATATTAAAAAAAAAAAAAAAATGGCTGGAGTTTGAAGGCAGCTCACTGGCCCCTGGGGCACCAGGTGGGGCCCGGGGCATGGGGCAGGGAATGACGCCAGGCTGCCTCCCCGCAGTGCTGCTAGTCCTCCTGTGCCTCGGGGCCTTCCTCCTCTGGAAGAACTGGAGGCTGAAGAACATCAACAGCATCAACTTTGACAACCCCGTGTACCAGAAGACCACGGAGGATGAGGTCCACATCTGCCCCAGCCAGGACGGCTACACCTACCCCTCGGTGAGAGCCCCAAAGCCGTCCGCACGGCTGGGGAGCAGGGAGGGTGGGGAAGGAGAGACCCCAAGTCATGGCAACGAACAGAGGGAAGCCACCAGGGGCTGGGAGAAAGGGGAGGCGAGTTTAGAAGAGGCGGTTTGGGCGGGCCTCCCTAAGCAGGAAGCATACGGTGTGCAGAGGGGGCAGCCTGTGCAAAGGCCCTGAGGCTGGACCGAGCCTGGTGTGTTTGAGCCCAGTGGCCACAGCGCAGCCTCTGTGGCTGGAGCGGAGAGAAGGGGACGGAGGGAGGAGACAAGGACAATGAGGGGCCTGGCAGATGGAGCAGGACCTGGTGGCCCTTGGGGAGGACTTGGGCTTTGCTCAAAAGGAGGAAGGAGCAGTGGAGAGATCTGGGAAGAGGAGGGATATGGCCAGACTTGGGTGCTCACAAGCACCCCCTGGTGGTGGCTGCTGTGTGAGGACAGACTGGGGAAGGGTGAGGGCAAAATCTGACTCGGGTGCTCACAGGCGCCCTCTGGCTGCCATGGGGGAAACAGACTGGGGTAGAGGTCAGCGGCCAGGGGACCAGGGCGGAAGTGATTGTGCCGGTCCCGGCCGGTGATGAGGAGCAGGTGGCCTCTGGCCATGTTTACTGGAGGTTGGACTGATTATTTCCGATGTTTATCGTTTTGTTGACAGAGGCAGATGGTCAGGATGGAGGATGACATGGCATAAGGCGCTGCCTCCAGCCCTGCCCCTCTCCAGAACCTGCTGCTGGTCAAGGGCAGGAAGAACACTTTCTCCCCAAACCCTTGACCTTTCCAAAACCCTTTTCAGACCTCCGCCACCCTCCCGTTCCGCTCAGAGAAAGGAGTGGCCAAAAGCCCTGCTGGCAGCCGACCTCGACGCTGGCAGCCCCGGGCCTGTCTGCCAGAGCTTTGTTTTATATATTTATTTATTCATCTGGGAGGCAGGCGACAGAGCACACGGAATGGGTTTGGGCTGAAATTTTTTCTTGACCTTTTCTCCTTAATTGGCTCCTCACCTGAGGAACGAATGGACGGAGGGACACCGAGCAAGAGAAAGCAAGTGGCTCTGAACCGGAGAGCAGGCGCTGCCCACAGGGTCCCAGGCAACTGCCGAGCTCTGACCTCAGGAGTGAATGTGTTTACCTCTGCCTTGCCAGCCTTGGTGGACGCCAGAGCCAGCTTCCGCTCTGCCACCCCCAGATCAGGATGAAATCTGTTTATAAGCCGAGTATGTGCCCTCTCCTTAAGCCGGGAAAGGGAGTCTGGCACTGGTGTGGACGTAGCTGAGTCCAGCACACCGGGGTGGCCAACTGAGCCCCATTCATTCCACAAAACCTCGACAGTTCTCCAGGGAAAGCCTGAGCCACCCTTTGCCCTTAATATTTATTGAGTGCCCGAGACCCCCGGGTAGCTTGTGTGTGAAGATAAGTGGCCTCCGACCTCTAGCAGTGTCCTTCAGCCCCTGGGGGGCTGTCCGGACCAGCCTGTGACCCAGCCCCAGCCCCTCCCACGTGCCTTTGCACTTTTCTAGTTCAGGTTTGTACATCTGTAAAGACTACAGTTCTTTATTTTGCACTGTTTTCTGGTCTGGCTAGGATGGGCTCCCAGGTCGGAAAGGACCCGGGAGTGGAAAGGGGATGAGGTGCCGTCTCATGGCCTTTCTCCCGGCACGTCAAAGCCAAGATGTGATTATCTGGCTAGTGTTTCCGCTTCTCTGCACATGTCCCTGAGCCATTCATCTCCCCGACAGGACAGTGGTCCGCGATGGTGTTCCAGCCCTAAGACGGCCATGGGTGTGGCCATTAGATGGGGCTTAGGAAACAAAACTGTCACACGTGTATTTACCCCGAAGAGACGGTGGGAGGGCCGCCCGGGGCTTCCCTGTCATTGTGCACTACAGACACCGCCACAGTGCCCGCCCGTGGGAAACTGTGAAAGGTGTTTCTCGCTCTGAAGCCTGTAAATAGAGCCCTGTCCCTAGGAGCGGGGCGTTCGTGTTTGCACTTTGTACATTTGTTGAAACATTCACCACTCATCTATTTGAAAACAAATCTATTTATTTTTGCAAACCCCGGGTGTTGCTTTGCTGGGTGACCCCTCAGGGACCTGCATCGGGGGAGAGGCCTCGCCTTTCTGTACAGCTGATCTGTGCGCAGCCCGGGCGCTGTGCTCTTTGGGAGACCCGTGTCCAAGCCGCCTGCATGGGCTGCTCGGGGGGGGGGGGGGGGGGGGGGGGGGCTTTGATTTTAAACCTCTGTACAGAATGTTTTTATAGTCTGACTGTCTTACTTTGATTACATTTCTTAAATGAACCATTTGGCTAAACCTGATGCACTGTCTTCTTCTGTTCCCTCACTTCCTCCATCTGCTGGTGGGCTGGGCTCCACAGGGGCGAGGATCTGAGAGGGAGCACGGCCCTGAGCTCAGGGTAGGCCCAGGCTCTGGTGAGGTTGTGCTCAGCTGGGAGGCAGCTCCACTGGGTGCTCCCCGGAGCTGGGGTTTTGCTAAATCTGCTGCTTGTTCATTCATTCAACAAACACGTACCCACTGCGTGGCCAGGTGCTGTTCTAGGCATGTAGAAAAAAAGACAATAAAAATGACTAAGAGTCTGGGCCCTCAAGGACGTGACTTTTAATTTTTAAATATGTTTTTATTGATTTCAGAGAGAGGATTAGAAACATCAATGCTGCGAGAGAATCATGATTGGCTGCCTCTTGCATGCCCTCTACTGGGGGGTCGAACCCACAACCCAGGCATGTGACCTGACCAGGAATCAGACCTGGTTCATGGGTTGACGCTCAGCCACACCGGCCGAGCAAGGACATGACATTTTAGAAGGGGAAACAAGATTACTATATTTTAGAAGAATGTTAAACAGGATAATGGGACAGACAAATGGCTGGCAGAGGATTTGAGCTGAGTCAGAAAGAATAACTGGCCATGTGAGGGTCTGTGGGGAGTCTCACACCCGGGCTTCATGGAACATGGTATTTCTGGAGGGCATATCCCTCCAAACCTTTGGGCCCGAGTGGTTGGTGTGAGGGCCTCGAAAAGGATACAGCAAAGGCTGTGACTACATTCGCCACTGAGATCTAACAAAAGTTTGATGAATCTACAGATTCCACATAGAAATATTTGGCTAGAGCTTTGGGTGATCTGCTCTGCACACTGCATCCATCTCAGGACCCTGCATCTCCACTCCCGTGCACCCCAGCTTCACTTGAGCCTGGGCCTGGGGCCATTTCAGCATGCCCTTGAACATGGCAGTCAAACCACAAATAGTCCCTGAGTATCAACTGGGTATAGTCAGAGCCCACAGCAGATGCTTGGACAGAAAGAATTCAATATAGAGACCTACGTATAAAAGACAAAGGAGGCAGGCAGGCGCCATGCGATTCCACCTCACACCCATTAGAACGACTCTAATAAAAAACAAAACATTAGATCACATGATCTCACACATCTAGAAGAAATGATGAACAACATAGACTGATGAACAAAAACAGACCCAGAGAAAGAGAAGCAGCGATCAGACTCTCAAACCTCAGAGGGAAGGTAGGGGAGGGTGGGGGTAAGGGGAAGAGATCCATCAAAGGGGGTGTGTGTGTGAGGGCATATGTAGGAAGGGGTTTGGAATAGGATTGGGGAGATGAGGACAATTATGTGATACCATAATCAATAAAAAAATTAAAAAATAAAACAAAACAAAATAACAAGTGTTGGTGAAGATGTGGAGAAATCAGAGCCCTCTGCACTGTAGCTGGGAATGTAAAATGGTGCAGGCTGTGGAAATAGTATGGTGGTTCCTTGGAAAATTAAAAATAGAATTACTTCCCTAACCAGTTTGACTGGTGTATAGAGCATCGGCCCGCAGACTAAAGGGTCCCAGGTTTGATTCAGGTCAAGGGCACATACCTTGGCTGCAGGCTCCATCCCGGGTTCCTGGTTGGTCTCATGTGGGAGTCAACCAATGGATGTGTCTCTCTCACACATCGATGTTTCTGTCTCTCTCCCCCTCACTTTCACTCTCTCTAAAAATCAATGCCCAGCCCATGTGGCTCAGTGAGTGTCAGCCTATGAACCAGGAGGTCACAGTCGGATTCCTAGTCAGGGTAGATGCCCAGGTTTTGGAGTCAATGCCTGGAGGGGGGTCGGGAGGAGTGTGTGCAGGAAGTAGCTATAAATGATTCTCTATCATCATTGATTTTTAAAAATATATATTTTATTGACTTTTTACAGAGAGGAAGGGAAACAGAGAGTTAGAAACATCAATCAGCTGCCTCCTGCACACCCCCTACTGAGGATGTGCCTACAACCAAGGTACATGCCCTCGACCAGAATCTAACTTGGGACCCTTCAGTCCACAGGCTGACGCTCTATCCACCGAGCCAAACCAGTTAGGGTATCATTGATGTTCTCTCTTCCTTTCTGATATCAATAAAAATCTATTTAAAAAATAAAAATAAATGAAAATATACCCTTGGAGATATATATATATATCTCCATCCTATCTAATAAAGAGGGAATATGCTAATTGACCAACACTCCATCAAAAAGATGGCTGCACACACAGCTGAGGCCAAGTTCCCATAAGGAGCCTTAACAAGCAATCAGCAGGGACCTGAGGCTACGCCCTCCCCTGCCCCAGTGGAGCTTGACAGGGGACCTCAGGCTGCACCCCCACCCCGGTCTGGGCTGGGGGACCTCAGGCCATGTCCCCCATCCTGGCTCTGGGCCAGGGGACCTGAGGCTACCCCCTCTGCCTGACAGGGCTTGATAAGGGTGGGACTGGCTGGGTCTGGATCTAGCCCAATGGGGGGGCCGGCAGGGTCTGGGTCTCATGTGATTTTGAGGTGCATGTGGGTTGGCGGGGATTTGACTCTGGGACCCACGGTGTGCCCCAGCCTCTGGCAGAGGAAGGTTTTTATATACATTTTTACTAATTTTCTTTCATCTCTGACACTTCTATTATAAAGGGCAAATAGCAATATTAAATTTTCTCCTCTAATTCCCACAGCTGAGGGGAGGCTTGGCAGGAACGGACCCGGGGCAGGGGCACTGGGTGGGGAAGAGCACAGGCTGAGTCAGGCCGCCTGGGTTGACAGATGACCTTGGGCCCATCAAAGCCAGTTTCCCCAATAAAACTGGGGCCAAGGCCAATCCACCTCCCGTTCTGTGATCTGTGGTGGGAGGTGAAGACCAGGAGCTGCTATCATTTCTGTCCACAGGGTGGCACTTCCTTCCTTCCTTCCGCCTTTTGTCTTGGGAAGGTTCCAAAATGCCTCTGGGGTGAAAGCTGAACTGGCCAAACAGGAAGCATTAGGCTTGCACACGGACGGTCAATAATTGGGTGATTGACTGAGCCGAGGCTCAGCCATGTGGCAAATGGGACAAATGGACCTGAAAGGCCTGCACAGGGGAGTTGGCCAGGGGATGGCTGGAGGGAGCTGAGAAGGGGTTAGAGCTGTGAAGGGGTGAGGGTGGGGAGGGAGAGGCAGAGGCAGGGAAGGTTCTGGAACCTGGCCGTGGCAGCTTTGCTGAAGGAGTAGTCACTATTACCCATCAGGCACCCCCTGGGCACTGGCTATGGCACCGCCTGGGGTTAGAGCTTTGTGACATACAAGGATGTACATACATGTCTGCGGGATGAACTCACCCGCTCTCTGCGGTGACCGGCACCCACTTTACAGATGGGGAGTTGGGGCTCGGGGTCCCTGGACCGACTCCCCTGGCCTCTTCCCACCACCAGCCTGGGACGGTCACCGTGGGGGTGACCCCTTTCTGGCTGGTCCCCTGGGCTCAGAATGGGGTCCCTCAGTGAAAGGTGTGAATGTGACCAGGTAAAGCTCAGCCCCCTGGGCTGACTGGCCATCCTCCTGGCCCATGGGCTCAGCCTGCCCCTTAGGGGCTGGTCCCGGAAGGGTAGGGGCGGCAGTCTGGGGTTTGGGGGCTGCCTCCCCAATACGGACGGGTATGGGCTCGACAGTCTGGCGGGTCGGGGTGGGTGGCAGAGGAAGCTGTTCTCCCAAGCCCGATGCTCTACACGTCCTCTGCCGCCCCCGCCCCCAGCCCTGGCGTCCCAAACCACAGCTGCCTGTGGTGAGTCAGGCTGGAGCCTGCGGGGCTGGGCCCAGGTCCTCTGCAGGGAAGGAGGAGAAGGGGGGGGCAGGGGGAGCACTGCCCCCAATGCCCTGCCTGGGAGGCGGGTGGGGGGAAAGAGCACCCTCTCCGCCATGAGGCTGAGGGCTGTGTGAGCTTGTACAGGTCCTGTCACCCACCCCTGGGCCCGATCGCCCCCCCTCCAGGCAGTTCAGCTCGGGTTTCAGCGCAGCTTCCTGCCCTCGGCCGGCCGAGGGGCTTCCTCCTTCCCGAGCCCCACCCTCCCAGCCCAGCTGTTCCCCTCGCCCTGCCTCCCCTCCCACGCTGCCTGGATGAAGGAGGGGAGCTTGGGAGTTCACAGTGAGACCAGCACCGCTGGACTCTGGAATCCTCCCCACGTCTCATTGGACAGCAGGCCCAGCGTGACCAAGCCCTGTGGCCTCGGGGTCCCCTGAGCCCTGGCCGCTGTGGTTCAGAACGCGCCTTCACGGTGCTGTTCCCTCTGCCAGGATCACTGGCTCTGACTTCTGTCCCCTGGGGGCTCAGGTCTGGGCTCTCATGACACCTCCTCCCTGGGCCTCCTACAAAGCCCTCGCCCCTCCAAATACCAACAGCATTTATCAAACACTGGAATGACCTCAGGGTTAAATTAATGTTCTGGATCCAGTTCAACCCCAGCTCTGCCAACATCAGCTGCCAACCCTTACCTGTAAGGAGCCATGGAGCCAGCACACAGCACCCGCTCAGCCCTGATGCCAGGGCTCCGTGGAGCATGGCTTCCTAACGGGTGCAGGTCAGAGATGAGCCCTCACCTCTCAGTCCAGGCCGCTGGGGTCCTGGGACCGCCGTGCAGTGGGTCAGTGTGGGCCACACATGGAGGCTCCGGGAATCCAAACAATGCTGTGTCCGTGCCCAGAGACCGTCCTGCTGAGCTCACCAGGGGTGTGGGGTGAGGGCTTTGGCCTCAGCAACACCTCCTGTCGGCCAGGTCGACCCAGGTGTGTGCATATCTGACCAGCAACCACGGATCAAGAATGACTTCACGGCCCTAGCTGGTTCTGCTCAGTGGATAGCGCATCAGCCTGCAGACTGAAGGGTCCCAGGTTCAATTCTGGTCAAGGGCACATGCCTGGGTTGCGGGCTCAATCCCAATAGGGGTGTCACTGATATTTCTCTCTCTCCTTCTCCCTTCTTCTCTGAAATCAATAAAAATCTATAACAAAACTATATGCCCCCTCCCTTTTCTTAAAAAAGAAAAGAAAAAAAGACGATGTATCGGAACCCAGGCCTGCTTCTGTACCTTTAGGGCGTGACCAAGCGCAGGTTCAGTCTCAGTTCTCGTTGGCCTTTCTCCCTGTGTGACCCTGGACAAGTGCCTTTTCATCTGCAGTGAAGTGACCCTGGGCCCCCCTGTCTGTGCCGAGCCGTCTCCCCATCTGCAACATGAATCGTCCTCACTGTTCAGGGTGATGCCAGGCCCTCACTGGGGGTGGGGTGGGCACAGGGTTAGGAATGGGGTGCCGGGGTAGGGCTGACCCTCAGTTCTGCAGTCCGGTGACCTGGTTCCCCACTCCCTGGTGGGCACATGGCTCCTCCTCCTCCCTCCGCAGGCCGGGCCAGTGCTCGGTGGCTGCTGGCCGGCCTCCAGCCTCCAGAAAAGAGCTGGTGGAGAGGCTCCAGGAATGGGCGGGGGCGGGAGCAGGGGCACAGGCTGTGGGCCTGAGCCTCCCTTGCTGGCTGTCCCAGGAATCTGGCCAGATCCCGGCAGTGAGTCAGGGCCCAAGCATGTTGGAGGCCAGGGTTCTCCCCGCCCCCCTGAGCTCAGGCACCTCCCTGAACCCACCCGCCCTGACCAGGCCGTGCTCCCACACACACTTGCTCACTCCTTTGGGTCAGTCCCTGGAGACGGGGTCATGCAGTCTCCCTACAGGGACCGTCTTCCTCGGGGGCAACGGAGCTGCAGGCAGGCTCAGGCCTCCACGGCCCCCCTAGAACAATGGCCCAGCCCCTCGCCTGCTCTCCACTCCAGGTTTAGGGGGAACGCGCTCTCCTGCCTGGACTTTCAGCGGGCCAGGGGCGCTCCTTCCCCCACCCTGTGAGCGGAGGGAGGCCAGCTGTGCCCCAGGAATGGCTGCCAGTGACCGCTGTTAGCTGGCCACGGGCCTGCAAGGCAGGTCAGCAGCCTGGGGGGCTCCCCGGGACACTGGCAGTAGCTGGAAACATCTGTGGGGTCACAACTGAGGTGGGTGCTCCTGGCTTCTAGCGGGTGGAGGCCCAGGGATGCTGCTCCATGTCCAGGACTGCCCACCACACTGACTGGCCCCGACGGCCACCAGGGCCGAGGTGGAACACTAGCGCAGGTCATCTGCTGCCCTTCAGACGTGGCTGGCGCAGAGGGGGGCTCTGCACCCACTTCACACGGTAAGACTGCTGACCGGGAGCAGCAGCCGCCCGGAGGGCTGTGGACAGGACGGCCGGGCTCGGGCACACAGCAGGGCCCTGGAGTTAGGAACCGTGTGAGCGGAATGGGCCGCAGGCCTCTTTACTGGGCCCTGCAGGCAGGCTTCCTGGCCCCAGGCCCTCCAGTCAGTGCTGAGCTCACTGGCTGTGCTCAGGTGCTGCTAGAATTTGCTGTTCCCACTGCCTAGAATGCCCGTCTCCGACTAAAACACTAATTGTGCTGACTGCAAACACTTGTGTGGTATAGAGGTGTACAGAACCCAACACCCAGAGCTTCTGGCTCCGGGCAGAGCTGTATCCAGGGGGCAACAGGTGTCCACGGCTCTGCTCCTGCTCCTCAGGCAGGCAGGTCGCGAGCTTCCCACTGAGTACCCAAGTCCCCGAAAATGAGCTTCAGAGAACACCGACGGGCCAGCCCTGGTCTAGGTTCCATTGTTTAGGGTTTATTTTGACTGTTTGGGATAGAAACACAAAAGTGACAATGGTACACACAGAGGTCCAGGGCTGACACCAGCTCCCCCATCTCAGACACCAGTTCTGTGTCACCCCCATCGCGCTGCACCCCTCACTTGTGGGATGTGGCTGCCAGGTCTCCAGCCATCACACCCAAAGCCCAGAAAATAAACGGCGGGGGAAAGAAAGGGTACACTCCCTTGCCTTTTAAGGATTCTTCTGGAAGTTTCACACAACACTTCCACTTACATCGCATTGGCTCAATTTAGCTGCCAACGAGTTTAGCTGGGGGACGAGTTTTGACCAGGCATAGCTCTGGGGTGGCATCGGCTCACACGTGACTCCTCCTGGGGCAAAGGGATCCTTTTCACCCTCATCTGTGTCTTGGTGCCTAACACTGTGGCACTCAAAGATACTCTCTGAATGAATAAAAAAGGGCCAAACTTGAATAATAAATGATCAAGACCGGGAACTTGTCTTCATACACTATGGTGTCATGGGTACAGTGTTGTCACAGCTGTGAAGTCACAGGCCTGGCACGGTTAAGTCAGTTCTCAATGGTTACCTGGCCCAGGGCAGTCCAGCATCTGAAGCAAAAAAATGGGGAGAGGAGGGGAGAATTCAGTAAAAATCCCATTTATGTTTAAACATTTACTTTTAAGCTGATCTCACCACCAAGGCACTAACCACACACCACAAGTGCTTCCCGCTCCGTGCGAGACGGTCCGGAGGCTCCGGCTACCACTCCGTGTCCACCAAACGCCAGAGGTAGTCGCTGATGAACTTGGCGGAGAGCTGGGTGCTGTCCAGGTGGACGGGCTGGGCCACGCTGGGGCCGCGGTGGACTGCGGGCGCGATGTAAGGAAGCCCGACGCCCCGTCCCCCATGGCCCCAGCAAAAGATGCCTTCAACGACCAACAGATTTTCATGAAGAAAATTTTAAGCTCTAATAATGCACCATATTGTTTTTATAAATTGTGGTAAAATACATAACAAGAAATTTACCATCTTAACCATTTTTTTTTTTTTTTTTAATCCTCATCCAAGGATATTTTTCCATGGATTTTTAGAGAGGGAAAGACATAAATATCGACGTGAGCCGAAACCGGTTTGGCTCAGTGGTAGAGCATCGGCCTGCGGACTGAAAGGTCCCAGGTTGATTCCGGTCAGGGGCATGTACATTGGTTGCGGGCACATCCCCGGTGGGGGTGTGCAGGAGGCAGCTGGTCGATGATTCTCTCTCACTGATGTTTCTAACTCTCTATCCCTCTCCCTTCCTCTCTGTGAAAAATCAATAAAATATATTTAAAAAGAAAAAGAAATATCGACATGAAAGAAACACATCCACTGGTTGCCTCCTGCACGTGCCCAGGCTGGGGTGGAGCCTGGAACCAAGGTACATGCCCTTGACCGGAATTGAACCCGGGACCCTTTGGTCCGCAGGCCAGTGCTCTATCCAGAGGCGAGGGCACCATCTTAACCATTTGTAAGTGTGTAGGTCAGGGGCATTAACACACGCATATTGTTGTGCAACCACCACCACCATCCATCTCCAGAACCTTTTCATTGTGAAACTCAAACACTGTCCCCATTAAACACTAGCTCCCCAGCCCCTGAACCTACCATCTACTTCCTGTCTCTGACTTTGACTCCTGCACGTGCCCCGCCGAGGGCCCAGGCGGGGGAGGAGCCTGAAACCCAGGTCCATAACTGAACCTGGGACCTCATGAAAGTGCAATCTTACAGCATTTATCTTTCCGTTCCTGGCTTTTTTCACTCAGCATGTCCTCCATAGCAATGAACACATGGGTTGCCTCCACCTCTGCGACCAGTGCTACTAGGAACAATGCTGTATCTGTCCCAGTCCCTGCTTTCAGTTCTTTAGGAGTTACCCGCGGACCCCGCCCTGTCTCCCCCCGTGGCTCCGGCATGTCACATCCCACCGCAGTGCACACGGCTCCTTTCTCCACAAAGGATACTGCCTTTGACCATCCCCGGTTCACACTCATAATCCCACTCAATTTTACTAATTCGGTGGTAAAGCTGAGCCACATACCTGCATATGAATACAAAAGAGAGAGAGAAAAGAAGGTTACCCCAGCATCCACCCGACCAAAGCTGCGACTGCACACACAGACTCGGGCACGCACTCACACTGGCAGTTAGGGACCTACATGGCTGCAGGGATGGTGACCGTTGTATCGTCGTCAACTTCCTTCTCCTGTTTCTCGAGATCAGCCTCAACCTCCTTGAGGTCCTCTAGCTCCCTGGTGAGCTGAGTAGAGCAGGAAGTTAAGGATCCCTGATGGAGGGAGGGAGGGAGGGAGGGGCCAAAGCAGCCCCACAGTTTCTAGCGTGAATGACTTCACACACACACACACACACCCTCCCCCTCCCCCCCAGGATCCCAGGAGAGGCCGAGGCCCAGCTGTTCTGAACCGGCAGGAAAGGATATAGGAGGCTGGCCTGCAGGTGAGTGTCCTGCTCGCTGGCCTTCTGAAGTTTGGCTTCGATCTGCTGCAACTCGGCACCGCCCTGGCTCGCCAGCTCCTTCGCATCGAGGAGGCTCTGGGCCACATCCTTCTCTGCCTTCAGGATCTCTGCGGGTGGGAGAAGGCTGAGGCCCCTCAACTTGGGCTTCCCGGGGTCTGTCCTGGGAGAGCCCGAGGAGCAGACTGTGGCTCACGGGCCTGTGGCCTCAACTGCCCCCCCTTCCCCCCCCCCCCCCCCTGCCATCAACGATGAACGGTGCCACTTCCCTGTCCGCAGCTCCCCAGCCCATTCACCTTATTTCCAAAAGTCTACTAGAGTTTCACCCAGACCTCACACAAACACTGCCATTTCACTGGAACACATCTGAATCCACACAAAATAATTAAAAAAGATTCTCGCACACCTAATCTTAACTATAATGTCACAATCCCTCCTGTTGCCCGAGCAAGAAGCCTGGGACTGACTTGCTTTCTGCATCCTGTTGGCCATCCAGGCCTGACAGGTCCCCCTGCCTCAGGTCCTTCGTCCCTGAGGCCACCCGTACGCCTCCCCCTGCCCTAGCGTGGTCTCTCCTGTTGCCAATCTGCCGATCCTCTTCCTTCTGCCTCCAGAGCGGCTGCATGTGAAGTCCCTCCCCTACTCAGACTGCCATGGTCCCCCGAGTTTTCGGGGCAAAGTCCAGGGCCCTTTGAGCATCTTCACCATTCCTGCCAGCCCCCTCTCTCCCTCCTTTTCACTCCACCACGTATTTTTCTCTCTGCTCTGGCTGCAAGGAGGCCTCATTCTGCAAATGCCACATTTTTCACAGCCCTGGGCCTCTGTCTGCCCTTCCTCTGTGGGACACATCGGACCTCCTGGGTAATGCCAGACAGCGGGACACTCTCCCTCCTGGGGCATGACTGTGCTCCCCTGACAGCCCTCTCACACTGAGTTACTTCTTCCTCGAACTGGAGATTGCATCTGAGAGTCACCACGTGCTGCCAGCACCCACTCAGAACAAACACGTGTGGAACACAAATCCTGAAAGATTAAGAACACCTTCAGGTCGCTGTGTTCCTTCCCACAGAGGCAAGGAACCTGCCAACACAGATTAAAGCGCTTCTCCACGGGCTGGCATGTAAGTGTTTACAATAACCTTTAACCAAAGTATTACTACATGTATATGGTTGTGAACATTAAACACACACGTGTGCCCCCTCTAAGCCTCTCCACCCCTCTGAGGCAGGGACTTTCAATTCTTTACTATTTTCTCAGGCACTGACCTTCAGTTTTAAGTAATCGATCGCTCTTGCTGCTTTTATGATTTGTCTGTATGAGATGTGCCTGCTGATTTCCTGTTAGGGGAGCTGAGGGTCTGGCTTTCTTACGAAGCCTTCCTGCCCCTTCTCCACTCACCCTCCTGAGCGTGTGCTCTGTGTGCAGAATGACTTGGGAGCCCAAGCTCAGCGCATCCTCACACCCTGAGGGAGGTGGCCCAACCCCTCCCACCATTTGAGGCTCAGGGACTTGTCCGCAGGCACGCAGCTCCGAAGCCTGGGTCTGCACCGGATTCACTGGCTCAGAGCCCCAGCTCCCTAGAACATGGACTCCTCTCTCCGGACCCAAATCCAACCAACTGAGGCTCAGGGCTAAGAGTCTTCTATTTGATGGTGTCTTGGATTCCTCAAAAATGATACTATTTGTCCAATGTTCTCTCCACATGCAGCCGGAGGCACTTTATCCACATCCATTTATTTAATCCTCTCCATAGCCCTGGCTCCCCCCACCTCCCTGGGGTTCCTGCTAAAACATCATCTCAGAGGCCTTCCCTGACCCCGCCCCAAAACATCACCACTCCTCCCTACACAGCCTAGGTTTTCTCCTCGGCCTGTCGCCTCCAGACGTGTTCATTTTTTCCTGCCATCCCCTACTAGCATATCGGCTCCCCTAAGGGATTCTGTTTTGTTGTCTGCTGCCATCCAGGATGGGCCCTATGCCTGGCACACGGCAGGTGCTAAGGAAAACATCTAAATAACCTGAGGAAGTGGAAGGACTGGGTTTCAAACCCAGCACCTGGACTCCTGAGCCCCAATGCAAACCGATGTCCCAACTCCTATATTCATCTCCCAGTCCCAACTCCTATATTCATCACCAAACCCCTGGAGGGGGCTGCGGTCCTAAAGCCCATTTCACGGGTGGGGAAACTGAGGCTCAGAGGGAGCAGCGCCCGCCCGCCCGCTAGCCCCCTGGGAAACCGGCTAAGGGCCGGGGGGCACGCAGGAGGCGGGGCTCGGGAGCCGGTCCCGGCCTCGCCCCCGCGGAGGCCCCGGCCCTCACCTCGCAGCTGCTGCTCGGCGCCGTCTTGCGTCTCCAGCAGCCGCTCCACCATCTGCCCGTAGCGCCCGAGCAGCCGCCGCTGCTGCGCCGCCGCGTGGTTGGCGCCCAGGAGGCTCAGCAGCCCCTGGCACAGCTCCTCCATGTCGCGGAAAGCCGCCATGACTGCGCGAGCGCCAATCCCGCGCAAATTTAACTGTTCGCTAGGCCCGCCCCCTTCCTGGAGAGGTCCGTTTCTATTGGCTTGATCCTCCGCCAATCATTAACGCATGTGGGAACGCCCCTCTAGTCTGGCCTAGTACGCCTGCGCGGGTCCTGTCAGTCATTGGCGATGGCCAATCGACGCAAGGGGGGGGGTGCCTTTAGGTCCTACCTGATGCGCCTGCGCAGACGAGAAAGTGGCTGCTAGAGCTTGAAGCTGCTGATGTCTCCCTAGTTGGAGCGCCTGCAGCAGGCAGGGAGGTAGTCCAAGGGCCAAGCAGTGAATTGCTTCTAGTGGATCTGAGGTTCTACAGTGTTCATGGGAAACTCACAATAAATAAGTAAATTCAGTAAGTGTCTGCATAGCAAGAAGATGGAGTCTACAACCAGATTTATTGGATTCCAATCCCAGCTTTGCTACCTACTAGCTTGTGTTACCTTGGGCACATAATTTCATCCCTCTGTGCCTCACTTTCCTTCTCAATAAAGTGAGGATCATCATTGTATCTGCTTCAGGGTTGGCGTGAGATTAAATGAGGACGATCTCTCTGTTACTCAATAGGAGCTACATAGGACGGTGTTAAAACATATGACATGCTAGCTGGTGAGGTGCTTAACGTCATGCTAGGTGCGGGGTTACCATAGAGGAAAGGCAAACTGCACATTCGTGACATGTTCTTGGACTGAGGTGAAGAAATAAAAGCAGTGGGTCATGACCAGCCGTTGCTACAAAATGCAATGGAAAATTTCAGTGCATGCTGAGTGAAATAAGCCAGTCAATGATAGAGAAACACCACATGACCTCACTCATTTATGGATAATAAAGAACATTATAAACTGATGAACCAAAAGATAGATACAGAGACAGTAAAGCAACAAGCAGACTGCCAAATTACAGCAGGTAGGGTAGGGAGATCTGGGGGAGATAACAGATCAACCGAAGGACTCGTATACATGCATATAAGTACAACCAATGGACACAAAACTCTGAGGAGGGAGGGTATGGATGGGAGGAGGGGGTACAATGTTAAAATATGTACACAGATAATAATTTAATTTAAAAAATGTAAAAAAAAAAAAAAAAAGAATTTCAGTGCACTGTGCATGGAGGGTTAGTTAAGTATTTGTATTGCTTGGGGACACTCCAAATTCTGCATTTGTATCCTGGGTGTGGCAGGTTGTATTTCTGAAAAATGACTACAGAAATACCGTAGTTCCAACTTTGCCACTCCCCATTAAAGGCTAGACTCTAATTCCTTTCCTCTTTAACACGAGCAGGACTTTGTGCAACAAATACCCTGTTTCCCTGAAAATAAGACAGTGTCTTTTTATTTATTATTTTTTATTTTTTTAAATAAATCTTTATTGTTCATATTATTACAAATGTTCCTCTCCGCCCCCCTTCACTGTTCTCCTCTACCAGGTTCCCACCCCACCCTCTGCCCTTTCCCCACCCTCTGCCCTTTCCCCACCCCCCATTGTCCTCATCCATAGGTGCACAGTTTATGTTCACTCTCTTCCCACATCCCCCTCTCCCCTTTTCCCCAAGAATCGTCAGTTCACTCCCCTTCCATACCTCTGATTCTATTATATTCAACAGTTAACATTGTTCATCAGATTTTTTTTTTAATTTCCTTGGTTTTTAGATTCGCTTGTTGATAGTTACGTATTTGTTGTTCGTAATTTTTATCTTTATTTACTTTCTCTTCCGAAAGAACCCCCTTCAGCAATTCATATAATTCTGGTTTGGTGGTAATGAACTCCTTTAGCTTTTTTTTTATTAGTGAAGCTCTTTTTCTGGCCTTCGATTCTGAGAGATAGCTTTGCTGGATAGATAATTTTTGTTGTAGGTTCTTACTATTCATCACCTTGAATATAATATTTCTTGCCATTCCCGTCTGGCCTGCATGGTTTCTGTTGAGAAATCAGCTGACAATCATATGGGTGCTCCTTTATAGGTAACTACCTGCTTTGCTCTTGCTGCTTTTAATATTTTCTCTTTGTCTTTTGCTCTTGGAATTTTAATTATAATTTGTCTTGGTGTGGTCTTATTTGGATTCCTTTTGTTTGGAGTTCTGTGCGCTTCCTGGACTTGTAAGTCTAATTCTTTCACCAGGTGGGGGAAGTTTCCTGTCACTATTTCTTTCAGTATGTTTTCGATATCTTGCTCTCTCTCATCTTCTGGGACCCCCATAATTCTGATGTTGGATCGTTTGAAGAATCCAATTTTCTGGATTCTCTTGCCTTCTTGCTTCTGTGGAGGAGTGTCTTTTGGCTCTTTATGTTCCAAATCTTTGACTTGATTCTTGAGGTCTTCCATTCTGTTTTTAGGACTCTGTATAATATTTTTTATTTCAGACAATATATTATTTGTTTCTTGTTGATCCCTTATTATTTCTTGTTGATCCCTTATTATTTTTAGTTGATCTTTTTTCATATCCTCATAGGTCTCGTTTATTTTA